GAGAGAGAGAGAGAGAGAGAGAGAGAGAGAGAGAGAGAGAGAGAGAGAGCGACGGTCGCAGCGATGGTTTTATCGGGCGACAAAATTGGAATAGGGCTGACGCGCGGAAACGTGGCGCGTGTCGCGAAATGAAGCCCGTTGCTCTTTAATACGGGAAATCGGAGAGAAGAGCCCTCGACCTCGGCCCTCATTCGCGATTCAAACGAGCTCACCTGATAACGCTTACGTATTCAAATCTATGCGGCGTTCTGTAAGCTCGAATGACCCGCGCGAGCGCTATTTACGAAAAGAAAAAGGAACACGTCCCGAGCGGGAAGCACTTAAGGAGTCGTTGCGCCTGGCATTTGTTATCGTATAATGGCTCCGAAATGACCTTTAATCCTCTACTCTCTCCACCCCCGTTAGCTTCGAGAGTCTCGGTATTCCGCTCCGCACATGCTGACTCAATTGACACACGGAAGAAAAAGCTATCTGCGTCAAGCAAGAATCTGTAGCTCCAGACTAATAGTTGTTATTTGAAATTCGTTTCTTTCTCTCCTCAAGCGAGATACTCAGATTGGAATTCAGAGTTAAATGAGATATTGAATCCACCATAATCATTGCAGATATAATGTTACATGTATCATATGATTCAACTTGGATTTAATTGCGATTGAAAATCTGATTATCTGTGATTATGTGAGACAAGTTTCAGGTGGTAACTACTGATATGGGTTTAAGACTCACATTAATAGTCAACTCGTCTCATAGTTGCGTCTACCACGCAACTGAAAAACTCTCATTTAACTCTGAATTCAGAGTATCTCACTTGAAACGAGTTTCAAGTAAGGACTATTAATATGGGTTCAAGTGTGGTAGCGAAAGTCTCTGTATTAATAGCTGTTACTTGAAACTTGTCTCAAGTGAAATACCCAGATCTGAATTTAGAATTAGACGCGAGGTTTTCAGATGAATTGCAGTTATAAATGTAATGTCATGTATATATGTATGTTAATATTGTACGATTTAAATGAAAAACTCTGACATAATTTGAAATTCAGATTTGAGTATTTTATGTGGAACTTTAAAGTAAGGACTATTACGGGCTCTAAATCTCATTAACATGTGAACACTTAAAAGTATAGCTGCCAACAGGCATATATTTAATTATGAAACTGATGCAGTAGAAACAGTAGCAAAAATTTGAATTGCAGCGGCAGAAATCTTCTTTACCGTACAATAACACAATTACCATTAACTTCAGATCAAAAGGCTGCTCTACAACCTACCGTCGACAAATGGATTTCGTCCAGTCAATTTAACGATATTCATGAGCGAACTATCAGCGTTACGTAAACAATCATGCAAATAATCGTTACACGCGCGATTACATTATCGCCGACGGATGGATTTCCCGGATCCCACGCGTGTGCGTTAATGGTGTGCTAATAAGCGGGAAAGTGCGTCGCCGATAGAAAACGCAGTCACTCACCAAGGTGGGTAGACACCACGCGGCGACGCGCCGCCCGCCCTGATCTGCTCGTTCACGTAACCGCTTCTGGGCACATTGAGAGCGCTTCTGATGCCTACGCTGGACCCGTCCAAGGTCCCGGGCCCGGGTTTCGGCACATGACTGCTGCAGTACACCTCCTTGTCGTTGATGGTGTGCTGGTTATTGTAATAGGTCTTCAGGGTGAGCTTGGTGCCGCAGATCGCGCACTTGAAGCAGCCCGCGTGGAAGAACGTGAAGTCCTTCAAGGGGCCCACCCTGTCGACCTGGTAGACGGTCTGGGCGCACCTCAGACACGTGCTCTCGTAGAAATTCGGCCGGTACATGATGTGCCTAAGCCGTGTCCAGGAAAGACACCTCGCCGCCGCCTGCCTCGCCGCGTATGTCGTCGCTCTTCTCCACACCGGATCTTCCTCCGGCTCCGCTCCCGATCACCGCTCGCTACAGTCTCGCTCGGCGCAGCGTTTCGCTCTCGATGCGTGCGACCTTGGAAATTAAAGGCTTCTATCAGGGAATAGAGAAATTACCTCTCACCGGCAGAATAACACCGGCGACGAGATCGTGCATTCAGAGGCTGCGTTTAGAGATCGTCACGGGCGTAACTCGCGAGCATAACAACCGTCTTTTTTGGATCTCTCCTCGATTTTTCTTTGGAGGAAAACCTCGTAAACCTAGCTCCAGATTAATGCTGCAATTCTAAGCAGAATCGTAAGTCTCGTAACTTGTTCTCGTAAAATTCGTCAGAACTTATGAGTAGATTTACAAGTGCAATATCATGCAATATCATATGTCATACAATTACTCGTAAATATCTACGATTTCATGTAATTTACGGTATTTATAAATAATTGTACGATATACTACTGTGTCCAAAAAGTAAGGTGACATTGCATTTATTTCGAAAATTCTTTATTTATTCTTGCAAATCAATTTCGTCCCCTTCAAAGTAATCCCCCCCTCATACACTTATTCCAACGGATTTTCCAATCTTCGAAACAGTTGTAATAATCGATTTCAGGAATGGCCTTTAGCTCCTTCTTCGCAGCGGCTAACTGTGTGACGATAATGCACCGTCACACACTGCGCTGATTATTCGTGATTTTTTAGCCAAAAACTCGACTAATATCGTTCCACAACCACCGTATTCACCTGATTTGGCTCCATGCGACTTCTGGCTCCGGGGACACCGTTTCGAGTCGATAGAAGAGATTCAAGCCGCTGCGAAGAAGGAGCTAAAGGCCATTCCTGAAATCGATTATTACAACTGTTTCGAAGATTGGAAAATCCGTTGGAATAAGTGTATTATATCAGGGGGGGATTACTTTGAAGGGGACGAAATTGATTTGCAAGAATAAATAAAGAATTTTCGAAATAAATGCAATGTCACCTTACTTTTTGGACACAGTAGTATGATACTGCATAGATTTGTAAATCTACTCATAAGTTCTGACGAATTTTACGAGAACAAGTTACGAGACTTACGATTCTGCTTAGAATTGCAGCATTATTCTCAAAATATAATTTCCAAACGTGTGTATTATATGTGTAGAGGGGAGAAGTGGTTAACTTGACCAAAAATTATTGTTACTTTGGCGCTAATTATTCTTCTTGTTGTTCTAACGAAAAGGTAGACTGAGAAAAAATATCTGAAAATTGATTTTTGGGATATATAAAGTTTGTTTCTCTGTGAAATTTATTTTTGTAAATAAACTTTATATCCCACAAATAAACTTTCAAGGACTCTTTTCTCGGTGTAATAGTGTGTTAAAACACACACATGCAACAATATCATCATCACTAGCACTATAATAACATTTACTAAAGAAAATGGTTCTCTTGATTATAACTCTTTTATTATATGATTACCAATATAGCAAACGCTTCTTTTCTCAGTTGCAGTTTGCAACATCAGAATGAATTTAATAATCGCCAATTTTCATGATGCTATTAGACAGGCATGTCTCTTTATTTTTCTCACTATTATCTCTTCATCACCATCGAGTGCAGGTAAAATAAAATCAGTTTCATTTAATTTTAACAACACGATCGCAAATTCAAATCGTCCAGTTTCGTTCAGTTTCGTTCAGTTTTGACACGTACTTCAATGCTGTTTGATTCATTATTTCGCGTTATTTGGCATAATTTGGCATAAATCCTCGCTGTTGCGAGCTCGCTCGTATCCGTTTCATAAGCTCCCCCCTAACGCCGGATATGAGGATGGGAATCGGACTCGTAGGAATCATACGTAACAATTAGTTGCAACCGTTAATTATGGAAGCGAGCTTCTCGACCGGCGCAACATGCATGGCACTCGCGTTTGTTTTACGCTCCAATTCGACGCTGGTAACGAGGTTCTTTTCATTCCCAGAGAAGAGTCGAATCGCCGCGCGTCGATCATCGCGAGAGACTTCCTATCCTGTCGACGATGATATCATTCTCGAGCAGAACCTCGGTGTTCTGAGAAAGAAAGAGAGAGAGAGAGAGAAAGAAAAGACAAGTCTCACCCCGATATATTAGGGCGGAGGTGCGCTCATGAAGCGAGCCGCCGCCGACACTTTCCTGCGAAATTTTGCAACGAATCATTGCCAATACCTCGCGGAGTGGGCGACTAAAGAGGCGATTGCGACACCCATTAATGACCGCGATATGCCTATGGCAGTAACGTCGGCGAGATTTTCCCACGTATCGTTCAGACGCGAGCACTTAATAGCGTTTCTATCGTGATTCCCGGCGCGCTAATACACCCGCGGTTAATGTGCTCCTCCGCGAACTATTCCCACCTCCCTCTCTCGCCGCACCGACCCAAATAATTACATATCGTTAACCGCGCGCGTGGTTATGCGCGATTAAATGCGAGTGGAAAGCCGTAAATACAACGTAAGCGCAGATTGAAGGCTGAGGGTATCCCACGAAAGTCGAGGTTTTCCGTCCGAGGGGGAACCAGTCTCGTTCACCGTGTAGAAATCGACTTTTCCCGAAGATCGGTCGCTTCTCCTCCTCCAGAGGAGGAGGAGGAGGACTCCCGATCGTCGGTCTTGTCCGTGAGAGACTAGACTTATGAAAATACAATTTGTACCGCGGTTTGAATCAGCTGAACGCACTACTTCGTGCATCTATCCGCCTGCAATGCTTTCTAAATTCTTATAATACCGTTAGTATCGCTGCCTACCGACGACCAAATAAACGTCGCTTTAACGCGTTGGAATTTCTCGACTTTCCCCTCGCCGCTAAGAAGTGTCCCGAGCGAGAAAACGCTTCGGACAATTGGCGGTAAACAGCAAGGATGTTTGAAAGTCGCGACGTCGCGTCGTTCATTCGCGAGTGCAACCCGACTCGAAATTTGGATCCTACTTTTGACCTCAATCTTGCATGTAACAGCTACTTGGGAGCTCTGAAGTCTATATCAAGCCCTGTTAATTCGATTCAACGTACTAGCTTTGCCGAGAGGTGCTCTTTGGAACCTACAAGTGGCATCTTGTGCGTTTCCTGCCATTTAGGGCAGAACTTCAGTTTCCATGCGTCTCAAGCGTACACCGGTACTTCGGAATATACCGATATTTGAAGGTTCAGGTCGAGAGCAGAGCTGAAATTTCGACTCGGGAACGGCGTACCTTCGAGACAATAGCACTTGCGACACGCTATTAGCAATGCGCTCGTAGAACACGACACGTGCCTGTTCTCTCGTTCTCCTTCTTCGCGCTCGGCGATTCAGGTATTTCGCGGCCGATCGACGAGGTCGTTCCCCTTTTTGCTTTCGCGCTCGTGTGTGACACTTCGTTATGCGAAGTCTTTTCTTTTTCCTTTTCCTACCTTTGCCGGACGGCAAAGAATCGACGCGGGTCGTAGGTGATCGCGCCGCGGACTGACGGACCGCGTCGTCGATGGAACGTATCAGAAAGTTCCTCTTCCGAAGAGCGAGCACGAGGTGCACGCCGCCATATCGGGAGAAAGCATTTTGTACGTGCGTCGCCGCGCGTATCGCGGCCCTCGCATCGCGGGAGAGTATGAGCTAATTCTTTGTAAATGAGGCCACGGTGCGCACGACCTGTTCTCCGCGTTCTCCGTCGCAAGGATAGTTCGTTAACCTGCGAATTGAATTTTCGCGGAGTAGCGTCTAACGGCGCGTCTCGCCCCCGGAGAACCGCAGATGTTAAATGCACTTGCAATTACGCATTGGGGATTTGCTCCATTTCGACGCTGGATAATCGAAGAAGACGGCTAGAGAGGTGGGCTATATTCGGTCGAGCATAAATTTTACGTCACGTGATTTTCTTTTCCAGCATAATCTCGTCCTCGACGGAATTTTTATTATATTGAACGAAAGAGTCCAAAAAATTAGAAATATTTATTTAATGGATACTGATATTATATTTATTTGCGCAAATATGCATATTTCTATATTGAGGAAAAATTTCTTTCAAACTAGAAAATATATGTCCACTTAAGACAGGCACTTTTTCACATAAATAATTATTTATTCTATTCAGACGGAAGAATTTGAATTTAAATAAATATGTTATATTACTTGTCGAATAAATATTTTTCACCTTTCTCTTTCAGTATATGGTCTCAACGGGTTACCTCAGAGAGCAAGAGAAAAATATTCTAAGCACAATTATTTATTAGAAAAATGCTCTTTCGTTTTCACATAAAAATATAAAAATAGGACCTTTAGCCAGAATTAAACCAGAATTTCGGTTTTTTTGGGCGGGAAGAATATTTTCCTCTTAGTTTCAGAAAAATTCTCTTGAGGCTGTACACTGAGAGAAAAATTATCTTAAAATCAACAAATATTTCCTTGGTGAGTGTCATTAACATATTTACTTAAATCTACATTCTCTTTACTTAAATCAAATATTGTTTATTTAAATCAAGTAAACAATATTTGATTTAAGTAAAGAGAATGTAGATTTAAGTAAATATGTTAATGGCACTCACCAAGGAAATGTTTGTTGATTTTAAGATAATTTTTCTCTCAGTGTATGTGAGAGGATCTCGCCAAGTGTATGTGAGAGGATCTCGCTAAGGTTATACTTTTTTACATGTAAGGGATGCACAGTAATTTAAGTAATTCATATTTTGCCAAGCAATCTGCGGTCGTTTCGGCGACTCTTATCGCGTATTTTAGTATTTACGCATGTTGAATTATGCACTTGTACGCTCGACGCGCAAACGAAGCCAGCCTAACCGCATCGCTTGATCGACGAGCTAATGTTTATACTGGCGACCACCGCGCCGTGGATAATCGCGTCTACGTCGATCGCCGCTGGCAATGAAACTAATAATGCGTAGTATTGATTATGACGTAACTGTGCCCGATAGCGCTAACAACGTCTCGCTCGTCAAGTATCGCGTGCTCGCCGCGATATCGCGCGCTCGCGCTCGCGCAGGTGCGAAAGTCCTGTTATCCGCTAATGGAATGTGATAAATCGACCCGTCGTCGCTCGGCCGGGTGCATTTTTGATACACCATCGCGCTCCAGAGCTATATTTCCCAATCGACGATAATTTCATAACGCGGAATGCCGTTCGCGATTAGTGCGTGCTCGCCGGGCGCACTCGCGCGCGCTGTAACGGAAACCCTCAACTCGTCTCATTAAACTGCGCGCGCGACCGGCGAAGCGCGGAAATCGTAAAAACCTCGTAAATTTCACCGTCGCGAGCGACTTTTGCGTAAGCGGCCGCAGGTGCGGACGCCGATTGCTCGGAGGCCCCAGAGACACGACAGCGCAAAAATTCTTAGTAGCGGGACGGTGATGACGCGCGACGGAAAGAATATTCCCTTCTTTATAAATTCTCTTTAACTTTACTGTGTTCTTAGTAGTCCAGGAATAGACTGTCAGCCAAGTCAGTAAGGTATTTTGTTAAAAACATGATAAATTCCTCGAGAAACGTAGCAAGTGTTTTTAGCACAGTTCAGTTCCTAAAGTATAAGCAGGTGTGAAATGAGAGGACAGTGAATTGCTGCAGATAGTCGATCTATTCCTCGGTTACAAAGTGCTATACAAGATGTATCGTAACATGTGGGACTCACTTCAGTAATGAATAGGGGTCACAAAAACAACGAAAAAAGTTCACATGTGTCCTGTTTGACCTTGTCTCGAAGTTATAGTCATTTTTGTATTTTAATAACCCACAACTGCTTACTGTCATAGAAGATACTCGAAATGGGCTACCCCCGGTCTGTATGCTTGCGGTCGTCGTATCAGAGAATTTCGCAATCTTACAAAAATTCCAGGTGTATGTCGAATTTGTTGGCAAGCTTGTTGTACACGTTCCTGGTTAAATTTTTGAAAGACTGCGAAATTTTCTGATACGACGACTGCAAGCTTGCATACAGAGGTAGCCATTTTGAGCACCTTCTATGACAGTAAGTTGCGGGTTATTGAAATACAAAAATGGCTATAATTTCGAGACAAGGTCAAATAGGACACCTGTTCATATTAACTTTTTTCATTGTTTTTGTGTCTCCTATCCATCCATGAAGTGGGTCCCACATGTTACGATACATCCTGTATAGTAACTTTTATTATAAAATTCCTACGTGCAGACGTATCGCGCCACTGAGAAAATTAGGGAGGACTTTTGGATCAAACTCGAATTCGAGCTCAACTTAATTAACGGGATCAAAAATCGTTTGGCCCTCCCGATTCCCGAGCCTGTTGATGGCCGACAAGGAGAGCCGAGTTTCGTTACGCTGTTGCGTTCAGGTGCGTCCCTGACCGGCGTGACTTTCCGCGACGAGAGTCCGCGATTTGCGTATACGCCGCGAATGGCGAGTGAGTCTCTCCGTGGAATGCGATCGGAGCGGCGCGATTATGACGAATTACATAACTTCGGGGCCACGCGGGAGGAGCCGGCTCGTTGCTGGTGTGCGCAGACGGTCGCACGTAATGGCGCGTTGCTCCCGTACGTGTGTAGAGATCGCGCGTTCTTCCGGCAATTCGGCCAGGTGTGCGACGCTGGTCATTTATCGCCGCCGCTCGTCACAAAAAGCCCGTAATCGCTGCGTAATCGCACCTACGCGCTACGGGAGTGAGCCGAGTGAAGTACGACGAGTCGATCCGAGGGGGAGACGGGACCGGACGAGACCGAACGAGACGAGCGCGACGGCGAGGAACCGTAAGGGGAAAAGGAACAAGAGAGACGCGGTGGCAGGGGCAGGAGAGTGAAGAAAGCGGTTTTCGGAAAGTAAGGTGGAAACGACGGCGAGATGCGTCGGAAGCCCGGCGTGGCGCGTCGGCCGCTCATGAAAATTATTTACGGCATTCCTCACGTCGTTCATCGCGCGATAATGTCCATTCGAATGGCCGGTGTCCCCATTCCGGCCCACCTTCTCCTAGGTATTCATACCTGCCGCGCTGTACACGGACGGGGTCCCACCACGAGCGCACGCGTCCCGCCCGTGTCGCGCATGCCGCGAGGCACGAGAAACTTTATTACGAAGCAAATCGTGCAGAATGCGGCCGTGCGAGACTCTCGATTCGGACAGGCGTCGTCTCCCGACGACGTCTCGCGAAAACAACGCCACGAGAGGTAACGGGAGTTCGCGTCTCGCGGGCACGAGACGCGAAAAATGGCGCGGCGCGACCTCGTGGGCTCCCGCAGTCTCGTGTCCTTCGACGTCGAGTGCCTCATCGAGAGGATCGCGCGACGTGTCGAAAAGAGTGCGAATCTCGTCTTACGACGCTTCTCGTGTCACGTGACGCCGAAGAATATGGTACGAAAGTAACTTCCGCGAATCTATTTTTAGATAAAAAGGAAACGACGTCATCGCTCGCGCCAAATGACGTAACCGACGTAAGATTGCCGAGCGATGTGTGTACTGTATGGTCGACTGCGCTCAGCGAACACAACGATTGAGTGATCGACTTTTGGGAGATTGACATGCGATCAGTAGATCTGAAACTATACATCAATCATGGATCATTTTTATCGAACGGTTGTGCAACCGTTGTGTCTTCTGAACGTAGCCATCATCATCATGTCTCAATCAAGATATCAAGGCTTGCTTTTAGCGAACTGTCCATTAACTAGGTTTAATGAGGTAAAGAATCCGTTAAAGTAGGTAACCCTTAACCCGTTGTTAGCGAAACCACTAACTGTTCTTCCGATCGTACACGCGCAATGTACCGAGACCTGGCAAAGGAACCGTGTCCTTTTAATTGCTCGCCTAGCTGGTACAATTCCGTATTACACGGAAAACAAATTTCAGCTCGTGCAACTGAATGGGAAAAACTCGCTGACGAAAAGTAATGTCTCTGTTACTTTGGTCGAAAACATTCGTCTGAATATTCAGCTACATCAAAACTCGATTGAGATAACCGAAAGCGATTAACGGAGTAGAAACCTGCTGCAGCAATTTTTCTGTTCCTATAACCGAGCTTTTTATCTGGTTCCCAGATACCAGAAAATGTAGTTATACTAGCGAACTTAGTGTTTCCTCCATATATTTGCTACGTTAACATGAAACATTCGACTGGTGACGGAGACATTCCAACGTCAAGACTTGATATTCGGTGCATACTCGGGCACACCGACCGCGAGTAAACGTCACGATACGCCCATTGACGGTTCATGCACGTGTCCTAATTCCGGTCCCGCGATATTCTCACGAACCGACAGGCTTTGCACGGCCGAACATCGGAGGTGAATATCGAACAGACGAAGAAACTCGCAGGAGGGACTCTTTCTTCCTCCCGAAGACATTTCTTCCCAGTCATTCGCGAGAGCCCGCTCTCCTAATTCGCGACGAACTGAGCCCCGAAGGGACAGTTGCACAGAATCGACACACCACCGTGAGAGAACGTATGACAACTATATCGACCACAAATCTCGTCAACCGCAACTGGCGGTCCCGTCGCACTCGCACACTCGCCTGAAATTTGGCTACACGACGACCTCTTGCGCAGGATCGCGACACGCCGTTTGAAAGTGGAGCGGCGTCGTTTCTGGAAATCGCGAATACACTGCGACTGCGACGAGCCGCTCCTGCGAGCGTGAGCGATCGCGCAGGATACGTACGTCCTCATAATCCTCGCCTCGGCGTCGTCCGCGAGCGGCCCCGATGGCTGCTTCCGCCCTGGCTGCCGGGCATGTTTCTCCGCCTGTGTCAGTCTACCTGTCTTCCTCTGCTGACTCGTCCGAATTCCCCGCGGAATCGCCAGCTGGGCCACAGGAAAGGAGGATCCGCAGGTCGCGATGACCCGATGGCGCGCGCGCGCTCGTCGTCAGCGGTATATCCTCACGGTTCTCTCACCGGTCTTCCGGTGATTTCTGCACCGTGCGTTGAAATCACCAGCGCGAACGCCTCGCTCCGTTTCGCGAGCAGCGCGCGGGTGCGCGCGCGTGTGTGTACGCGATTGATGAGCGACGTGAGGACGAGGAACGCGAAGAGGGAGCACAGCTAGGAGATACGGAAGAGGAGGTGGAGGAGGAGGAGGAGGAGGAGGAGGACGAACGGACAGACTGACGGACCACCGTCGCGATTCCACCTGTTCTCAGCGATCGTCGTCGCCTCGACGTATCGATCGCTCGGATAGAACGCCCGCGGATGGATCGCACGCGACTAACACCGCCGACCCGCCTCGACCGCTGGTTTATACGTCGATCGTCGCGTGTCCTCGCGACTATCCCGCCGGCTGCTCCACCGGATTTATGCACGACGCCACTTTCGACCTTCCAGTCAGCGCGCACGAACGTCTCTGACACGCTTTCGGCGGTCCGCCACCTGGAATGAGGTCTCAGCACCGTGCAAGGCGGCCCCGCGCGACTCGGATCGAACCTGAATATCGCCACCTGCCTCCGACGACGTTCCGGGAAGGTCTGAGGTGAGAGGAACGGCCATTTTGAGGCACCGCCGATGGATCGCGCAGGTGGCGCTACGCCTGGAGAACCGATGTGCCCTACCTGCTCGTAACGGTCACTCTCTCGTGCGCGTTCACCTGGCGAGGACCTGGGCCCGTCGAAGGCGCGCACCGCCAAGCTGTGTCCTTCGATCGAGCTATTCCTCGAGACGGAAATGTCTCTTCTTCTGCAATTATCATCTGGGAGTGAAGCTTAGATTTCGCGTGCAACTACGTGCAAACTATCTCCTTGGCCTGTATTAATAGTCGTTATTTGAAACTTGTCTCGCGCGCGAGATACTCAGATCCGAATTAAGAGATGAATCTTTCACAGCTGAAGCACATTACACTTGCAATCGCGATCCCATTGAAAAAGTAAGACACAGGAAAAGAACTTGGTTGAATTAACGTGGGAAGATATAAATTCCGAACCAGAATTTTGGTTTGAAATTCCCCGAGTTCTATTCGAGTTAACAAGATTCTAATTAACCAAAACAACATTTCTGAACTTTCAACTGTTCAATTTGAAATAATTGCAAGTTTTGATCAACCAAAAATTTTGCTTTGGTAACTTCATCCGGAATTCACAGAAAAAACAGGGGAGTCTCTGCTACGAACGTAACTCAAGGTCTAATCGCGTGACTAGTAAAACAATTGTCATTACGGACGATTTTTTATCCACAGACATACAAATGCTTATAGAGTGAGAAAAGTAAAATGTAGGAAAAATTCGAAACGATCGATGAGATAAATTATGATATTCTCGAAAGCCCTTATTAATAAAGACCTTAGATATCAATCTAAGTCTGTATATATATATATATATATATTTTTTTTTTTTTAACAGTTGTCAACTAAAACTTATATAAGATACTCAGATTTTAATTCAAAGTTAGATCTTCATTTGAATCGCTTAATTATGATATTCTCGAAACGATATCTCCGTTGTTAATCCGCTTGACGCGAATCGCTTAGAAATTATGCCATAAACGCGCATGTAATGACTCGGTATAATGACACAGCATGCTGATCCGACTTTGATATAGTTGATACCTGGATGCAAGGACGAGTTGCGACACGCGTGCGGTTAATAGAGTAACAAAGTTCAGATGCGGAGCGAATCGCTCGCGGGGCGCGGTCGCGAAGATCTCCAAAGGTCGCTACTTTGCATTGGACGTGCGTTAAGTGTATTTTTGAGTCGCTCGCTTCCTCTCGGACACCATTTCTAGGCAGAAAGTATAAGATTGGCGCGTAAAAGCGTGTGCGCGCCCACTCGCGCGCCCGCGAATCGCTTCGCGCACGTGGGAAGCGATTTACATGCGATGACGCAATGGAGGCAACGACAAATTACATATTACTCGAGGCATTACCGGAGATTCTTATGCTCTATTTCGTCGTGACGTTTCGATACGCTGAGATCATTTCCCCCGTACCTGTCTCGTGGGAGAAGGATAATGAGCGCCGGACATCGTCGGTTAAATTATGTGCCCACCTTAATGCACTTTATTAATGAAGCTTCATTGTATTTCCTCGTTAGATAAACGAAGACCGTGTCATGCGAGGGAACACATTCAAAGTAAATATTTGCGGTAATAATCACATGGTTGGCGACGAATTCGTCGTGTAAATTTGCGAGCCAGATGAGAAGCGACTTTGTGATCAGTCACCTTTCGTCCTTCTGTTCTCTTCTCGCCCTGAAATAATTAAAAGTAATTATCACGCGAGCAATCGCAGAAATATCTCTTGAAGTATCCGATTGTCGAGGAAATCGAATGAAAAAAGGGGACGAAAGGGGATGGTCCCTGTCCTCGGCCCAAGCGAGCGAGATGTAGCAGCCCCCGGCCAGCGGGTGCCAATTCTCTCTCCAACATCCAAAGCGCACTCGCTCACACACGCGATATATTTACGCGAACGGGGAGACTCCGGCGAAACGATGGCAGCGGTCCAGCAGTCGCGTTACGGAAATAGATTTCGGTGTCGGCGGCGGGCGATGCAACGGCCGTTCGCGGAGCTAGCAAGCGAGCGCCGCTGAAAAGCAGCCGGAGAGACGACGGCGGCCAGTACCGTGTCGACCAGTTCCCGAGGAAAACCGGAAGAGTCACACCCCGGCGAGGTCCCACATGAGCGTGAGTGCGATATTGCGTCCCACGAGAGTGCAACCCCCGGTGCATCTTCCGGTTTGAGATACGCACGCACAGTGCACATACACACACCCGGCTATTTGCGGTCGTTCGCGCGGCGGGAGGCCTTCAGCAACGGGTTCTGTTCCGCGACGTGTCGGCACCATTTGTTCTCCACCTTGGAGCCAGATTGCTGAAGAGGTTGCTCGCGATAAAGCAATTTTCCGCGCGCTTCCGACCGGCCGCCGCGACCGCAAGGTTGCTCGAGAAGCAGAAAGGTAGCGACGATCAACGTCGTTAAACTGACCCGCTCGATTTCAGCCGCGGCAATCGAGTCAGGTGTTGGTGTGATTCGAAGCTCTGACTCTTGAATCTTTTTCAATAAATCATGAGTCTCCAATGATTCGTCGTCCCGGACGAATCCGTTTCTCCGGTGAGACCGATCTCCATCGAATCCGCGACTCAATGCTCCTCGTAATCTTGCAAGGTCTCGCTTGTGCGCGACATGGCACAGGGAATCCAAGAATCTCGGCGCGCCAGCAAATTTCAGCAGCACAATTAGACGACTGGAGGACAAAGAGCAGGCTAGACTTGAAATATAAATAGAAGAGAACAGCTCACACAGCGGGCGAAGATCCCAGTGCTTTGTCGGGCGATATTCATTCAGATCGTGAATCGCGACGCGCGCTGCGGTGACGATAGGTCGACGCTGGCGCGCGAATTGTCTAAATCGGAACTCTCTCATGGTACATCGACTCCTGGTGCGCGTACAGCTCATCGGCCGTGCGTGGAAAGTGCATGCACGAATATCGGAACGTGCGTCTCTCGGCCGTGGAACAGAATGCGGGTTGCAACATCGACGTTCAAGTGAGACACGTTCCGCACGTTTCTTCGCTTACATGAGCACGACCAAGTCCGTGTCTCGCCAATTTTTTATCGCACGGGGAACAATTGCGACGCGATCGGGTGATTGACCGCAGAGAAAGTTCCTGCAAAACTCGTGAGTCTGATTGGCGCACGCTCTTGATCTTGACTGAATCTTAGGCCCGTACTTATCACCCGAAACTCGTCTTTAGTGAAACTTCAGATCTCAATTCAGATTCAGATGAGAATTTTTCAGTTGAGCCGCGGCTGCGAATATACATCATAACTGAAATGAAAAATTGAATTCTGACTGAATACAAATCTGAGTATCTCACGTGAAACAAGTTTCAGGTGACGACTATTAATCCGGAGCACACACCAATCAGACTCACGAATTTTACAACAGTTGCTAGCTTTCTCTGCTAACGCAGCCATTGTTATTATGAATCGACAGTCTACAGATCTGTTTTTTTAGCTAAACTAATGCTGTACTGCTGGAGTCTCTCTTTTCTCTTTAACCCCTTATCAGGCCTTTTTCGAAGAACTTCCCGAACTGGCGTACACCGATGCAACAAGTAAGAATGAAACGAAATCTACTCGTCCCGCCCTAACTTGTTGCATCAGTTTGCATCAGTTCACAAAGTTCTTCGAGAAAGAACAGACCTCTTGTATACTCGTTTCGCTCTGAAGGCAGCAAAAAGTGCAGCATGTTTCGGCTAAGAAAACAGACCTCATATTTCAGCTGAACACCCTCGCTCCGCATTCGTCGACTCCGCGGCGGCGCGTTCGTCGCGTTTCCCGATGCGGTCATCCTTCTGCTTATGCGGGTACCAGCGACTGATGGGGTAGCGTAACGCGCGATAAAGGGAAACTCGTTTCTTACACCGATGCACAGTGAGAGTCACCAGCTTGTGAATCAACGTGTACGCGTTATCTACCGCCAGTAACTCCTGCTCTGAGTATGACAGTTGCTTCCGGTTTAAAATCCCTCTTCGTTCTTGCGCGTCGCGCATACCAAGCGTCGCCTCATTATTCCGTGTCGCGACGCGACACCGCGAGAGAGAAAACGCGACGGACGACGCAGTCGAGTGGATTTTTTCACCGCTCCGTTATCTAATGCAAATCAGTATTGACATGAACAAAACGCGAGACTCGTCTGAGCGTAAAAGAAGTTCGCGGTCAGAAATTCTCGCGGATAAACTAGAAGTTGGACGATCTCCAACTTTCAACTTGCGCGGACGTACACGACCTCAACGAGGAATAGTTTCGCGACCTGCGCTCAGCTTGCGCTTGTTGTATCTTGTTTTTTTTTTTTTACCTGGTCTTGTCAAGCTCCGAGGCAACATTGCGAGAATACAGGAAACGATAATCGCGGAGAAAATGATTAACGCATAGCAATAAACATAGCATTAGATCGCCATACGGGAGATCAGTTATTTTTCCACTAGATTCTGGTTTGTAGAAAGCTACTGATCTGGACGCGACTCTTCCACCGCTCGAGATAGGAACAAAAGAAGAAACAGAAACATTTCTAAAGATACGAACTCTAATTCGAGAAACTAATTCGAATTAGCTTCTCGCGACGTGACGGCATCCGTGATCTTTTGTTTCTCTCTTTTTCCCCGAATAACACCGTGCGGATGTGGCAGATTAATTATTCAGTTCGACAAGTCTGCTCGATGTATCGAGAGGAAATGCAAATACGACAAAATAAAGTAGATTACAAGTAAACCCACGATTGACTGATGTACGTAAACTGTACAGTAACTTTAAGTATATTAATTCAGGAGATTCAGTAACGTCGAATCTCCTTATGACTGATCATATTACACTCATATTTATTACATAGAATGGCGAAACAGAAATATGAAGAAAATCACCAAAATTAGCCCGCAAACATGTCATGTTAAGCACGATACGAATATCTCAGTGCAACTTTTAGTAAATTTTTTGCTGCATCAATACAACAAAAAATTCACATTATTGTACGATGTAAATTTAATAATTAATTCAATACACAATATATCCACTTCACAAATCTGATTGAAGGAATTGTGAAGTTTTCATCATCGATTATCTCGCGTTGTAATAGTCATGAAAGTTTATCTGGGATGCTGAGCCGACAAATGTCGGAGTATTCTCGGAGACTCTTTGTGTATTTAAGTCGCCCACCTTCTATCGCCAATAATCCACGGTAATTGCGCTCTGAAATATTTTGCGCCTCAAATCGGCCTCAAATTCGTCTGCAACGCGTTCGATATTATTTCACGTGTGGGACGTGAGACATCCTCGTCGTCGGCGTGTCACCCACGCTGCGGAAAAATAGTGTCACGGCTCGGCTTTATTTCTGGAACGCGGAACACCCTTTTTCCCCGGACGCAGAAATAGAAGCCGCGGTCGGCCGCCACTTCCGGCACAGGTCGATCGCCGCTCTGACGTCGCCGACGGCTGGAGAGATGCACACGCTCGTGGAAAAAGCGCGATTGTGCCGAAACGATTCGGGATTCCTCCTTGTTACCGCGCGCGCGCGCGCGCAAGCCCAAAACGCGACACGGCATCGATTCACACTTGGCACCGTTATGGCGGTAGTACGCTGCCAAGGTACCTTGGGATCGTTCTAGGCTTGGGGATTTAGCTCGACGTCGCGCTAACTTCGCTGTTTTTGCGCTTTGCTTCTGCGTTCACTTTGCAATCATTTTCTTATAGCATTTTAATTTTATCCGTAATTATTCGCAAATATTTCACTCTTATATTTTTAACATTTCTTGAATTTGTTGACAGTTGCTTCTTAAATTCCTGAACTTCTCAGATTCTGGGTGAACTTCTCAGATTCTCGTTGTAACTGCAACGTATACAATGAGCTTATCCGTACACATTTCTCGCGCATTCTCTGCCTTAGATAAGTGAAGCTTGTCGATGGAAATTATTTATGTTTCGTTACATATGTAGAGATATCATTGCCGCAATATGACGTTGCAATAACGGCCGCTGAAGCGGAACCAACAGAGTGCCTCGAGTAACAAGAGTAATAGAGATGCACCGGTACCTCTGGCATGCTCCCCGAGTGAATGACTATGATTCAGGAAGGAAATCGTGGAGGAAATTCTCGTTGTTTTATTTTCATAGAATCCGGGAGCTGAGAAATGGCGACCGATGGCCATATCCAATCCGTCCACCAAGTTGCGGATGGCGAGGTCGATGCCTCATTGGGTGATGGTACGTCTTTTATCATAATCGATCTCACAATAGGTCATGTTCCTTATCTGTCTATCGCTGTTCTCCTCCGTGATCTATCGTCTATTTTACAATCGTCGTGGACAATAAAGATGCGGATGAGATATAAAGAAAGATTCTCTTCCATAACTTATCTTTATTTAATTCCACGACAGACTAACTGACTCGTATTACTCGACTACTCGACACAGCAACGCACATACATTCACCCACGAGATTTATAAAATGCATAAAAATTTGTCGAACGCAAGGCGCAACAGCGGGAAATGGAGCAGCATCAACGCCGGCCACCGACTCCTCCGAAAGCCCCGCCGCCGTCGCTCTCCGGGGACTGTGGTGACCCCGACTACGAGATCATCGAGTTCCCGACCCGACCGCAAGCCCAGAGATCCTCCACGATAACGACGACGACGACGCCGACGACGACGACGACGACGACGACGACGACTGCGACAACGACGACGATGCCACAGTCGTACGTCGGTAAGTGCGCCCTGTGCGGCACCGAGAACGTGTTCGCGCGCTGCGACACGTGCCACGAGAACTACTGCGAGGCCTGCGACGACATGAATCACAAGCACCCGAAGCGGAAGCACCACGTCCGACGGAGAATCCTGACCGACAACGCGAGCAGATGCAGGCCGCCGTTGCCGCCGAAGGGCGAGAACCTGATGTGCCCGCCTGTGCCGCCGCCGCGAAGAAATCGCAAGACCACTCAGGTAGGCTGCGTCCTGGCCTGAAAAGCTTCCGACTGGCCGTCGATCTTCTTCCAGGCATCCGACGCCGCGCTCGTCGTTCTTTCGATAGCCCTCGACGTTCCCAGCGGCGACCCTCCTTCTCCCCTTCGCCGAGGATCGTTTCCGGAGCACTCGAACTCGAACGGAGATCAGGTTGGCAACGGTTGGGTGAATTCTTCGCTCAGGTTTCTCCTGTTCACTCGACGACGACGATCGCGAATCGGATGGTGCTACTCGCGCGTGCGACGCGGGACGTCGCCACCGAGAACAAATACTTGGAAATTTATGTGGGATTTATATAAAGTTCATTTCTCTGTGAGATAAAGATTACTCCCGTGAATGGACTTTACATCCCACCGACAAAATTTTCGAGCATCCTTCTCTCAGTGCTGTTACTTAGTCTCGTCGCCTACCTCGTCTCCGTCGAGTCGGCCCGCGAGATCTGCCGATCTCTACGACGTTGCTGGTTAAGAACTCAACGGTGTATATATAGTAACTTTACCCTCGAAACGTCACACCGAGGCAGCGTTCCCGAGAGAGCGTTCTGAAGAAGGCGTCACACACTGCCCTTGTCGCTTGAGCTTTCGTCGACATTGTTTTTAGTTCTCAGATTCTACTTTTTGCGCTCGCAGAGATACCTTATTGTACATATTGTTGTCGTTGTTCTTTCGTAATACACCATGTTACCGAAAAACACTGATGCCGTATTCACTAAACCCGTTCTCACGTCCAATCTCGTCGCGGAAAGGACGACGGCATCGGCCGCCGACGACGACGACGTTGATACCGGGCGTTCGTCGCAATCGCGCGATCGGATCGCGTTATCGCGGATTCACGTGGAGTGGTGAATATAGCAGGTTACAGTGAACACGGTGAACATGATGATCATTCTCGCGCATAATCACGACACCTCATCGACGACGACGCCGCCACTTTGCACACTCTCTCTCTCTCTCTCTCTCTCTCTCTTTCTGTTTCTCTTTCTCTTTACCGTTACCAGCCACAATCTCGACTTATTTTCACACTCGGTGTATCGCACTTCTTTTCAGCATACACACACTAGACGGGCTATCATCCAGCTGCTTTCATACCTGCCATGCTCATGAAACGACGAACGACTTGATGGGGTGTTATTTGCGTGATTTTTGTTTGTAATACTGGTTTTTTTTCTTCTTCTCTCTGCACACCTCGCACACCGGCGTCTGGACGAACCTGTTCTCACACGCTTATCAATTTGTTTGATTATTTTTCCGACCGATATTATCCTCTTTTATACTGCAAGAGTCTTTTTCTAGAGAGCACACTTTATCGCCCGTCGTGTCAAACACGATCGCCTGATCGTGTTTCTCATTGATACAATACCGAAATCGATGCAGTCTCGCGAACGAACCACATCTACGGTCCTCGACGACACTCCGAGTGCCGTTCCTCTATCCACAATATGCAATTAAGTCAAGCTTTCGCGCTTAGGCTATATCGGCGCTAGCCAAAGGATCCGCGCATCTCCCTTTGCTCGATAAGGTCGGCAGCTTGAAGCGCAACTTCCCCAACACGAAGCCGTTATCCACGACGCCGGATTCGGGCTCGAGAGTGTCAAAGTCCACGAATATCTTAAACGCGTCTTCCACCGACGCCACAGGATCAGGAACGGACAAGATGTCCACTCTGCAGGTGAGAAATGCGACAGGACTACGTTAATTATGAGAAAACGAGTCCTTTAATGAATCGAAAGATTTCGAAAATTACAAGATATTCACGTATATAGATAAAACTTGCGAATACTTCCTGCGTTTTCTCTATACATATCTGTTTAAACGCGAGGAAGAGGAAGATATCGCGGGATAAAATTCGTCAATTTAATCAATTGAATGGCGCGTGTCGTGCAGCAATCATTCGCAGTGATATCCAAATTATTTTGAAATGTCTCACGATATTCGTAACGTTCGAAATCGAAATGCCGAATATTTAGGAGAGATACAGAAAGTACCAGGAGGCGATGAGGGCTCAGGACGCGAACAGACGACGACACCCGTCGTCCGACACCTCGAGAGACACCTTGGGCGGGAGACCGCTTAGCGTAGGCAGCCCGAGACCGGCACCGTCACTTCCACCTCCGCCGCCACCTAGAGCTATGATACAATCAGCCAGCGTCTGCGACCTGTCGGCCGTTCACATGTGGAACCCTGGAATGCATCAGGTACTCCTTGACATTTTGACTTTAACTTTATTCTTTTATACACGGAAAAAACGTTGGTTGACTTAATCGAATTTCTGAGAAAATATGAACGAGTCAGGAAATTCCAGTTGAAGCCGGAATTTCTGGTTCGTTTATATTTCAGCAGACGCTTAGTTAATTCAACCGAATTTTTTTCTTATATGTTATCAGTTTTATCGGTTTGATTTCTGCGATATTATCAGCTTGTTCTCAATTCAATCTTAATATATTATCAGCTTCATCGTTATCGTCGATTTTATCACCCATGTCTTCTAGGTTACGCCATAGTAAAAGTAACAAGGAAAGAAGTAGACTAAAAGTCAAGAATGTTTCAGGCCCAATCGATGGCGCACTTAGGACCCGGAGGTGTGCCGATGTGGTATCCGCCGATGAACTCCTGGGACATGTCGATGAGAGGCTCCACCATGAGTCTGCATCATCCGAGTATGTGGGGATACCCCATGGGCTATCCGCCGGCGCAGATGTTACCGCCGCATTACCCGGGATCTCTTTCGCGACCGCACAGTCCGGCCAGGAGCGTCAAGTCCAGTCGGAGGTCGAAGGCGGCGTCTCCGTCTCCCAGCCTCAAATCCAAAAAATCCTACGTCTCGCGATCACGATCGAGAATCTCGCCGGGATCGCCGTCAGATGCGAGCTCAGAGAACTCTGATGAGTCCGACATCGATGACAGGCTCTCGCGAGGGTCCAGAAGTAGACTCGGCAGCATGTCCAGAAGCATACGACAGCGAAGCTATCGCGACGACGACGAAACGAGGAGTTTCTTGTCCAAGAATCGGCGAGAGTAAGTGGAAAAATACGTGAAAATAAAAAGCAAATAATATCTACTACATGTTTAAGAAATATCGACATCATCAAGTTGTCGTTACGGGAATCAAAGGTAGTCCCGGCTGACTATGAAAATGAAACGTTCTGTAGAATTTTGTCTGAATGATAATACTTGTAGTCAACCATAATGCATATATTTTCATAGTTCTTCCTCGAAAACAGTCTCAATAAAATATATAATATTTGATAAAATAATTTAATATTAAATATTCGATAAAATAATTTTTAATATTTGATATCTTGTTCAATATTTAATATTTAATATTTTTAATATTTTAATTTTTAATATTTTAATTTTTAATATTTTAATTTACATTTAATATTTAATACTTAATGTTTAATATTTAATATTTAAATTTTTAATTTTTAATATTTTTAATATTTTATTCAATGTGTATCAAATTTAACATTTTTGTTGAAATTTGTTCTCGTTGATAGACAGATCATTTTTAGCAAAATTGGCGTGGTCTTGTGAGTGTTCCAACTGTCGCATACACGAATCACGCTTATACGTGCCGTTATACGATCGATCTTTCAGAAGACTGATGTCCGAGGAGAGACTGACAAGCACCGAGGACCAATGGTCGGAGAGTGCGTCCGGCAAACGATATCCGACGTCATCGCGAAATCACGACGAGTTCAACAAAAGTAACACTATCACCTCTGGAGGACGATACAGTTACGACGATCGGCCGGCTCCCAAAGCGGATCCTCGACTTGATCGCGTTCAGAACGCGAATTATCGCGACCGTCGAAGACGCAGCACCGACGAGGAGTCATCCGATCGGAAGGTCAACGCGTCTGGCCGAGCGCGGATGACGAGCTCGCCCGATAATCGTTTCGAGAGAGTGCAGAACGCCTCAAAAAAGGCCCCATCTCTTCGGCGAGACGTAACACTGGACGATTTGGAACGATCTTCTGCTCGTCGCGACTCCCGCAGATCGTCCTTTGATAGCGACGTTCAGACTGGAAAGACACCCTCGCGAGACGTGACTTCCCCGAAGAGGACATCCGTAGAGCGAGCTCGTCTCTTGGAGACGCAATCTCCCCAAAGAAGAGGATCGACTGATGATGATCGAAGGAACGAGATCGAGTCGCACTTGGCCAAGAGGGAACAACAGAGCCGCGATGTCTCTCGTGATCGTGAAGTCTTGGCAAGCAGAGGCTCCTCTCAACGAAGGGACGGTTCAGAAGACCTCGACAGGGTCACCGCCAAGCGAAATTCCGGCAGATCCTCATTCGACTCCGACAATCAGAACCTCAGGAAGACAACGAGGGAGACGTCGGCGGCGAAGCAGAGGGAAGAGAATCGAGATCTACCTAGGACGATCGGCGATCCCCGAGTTGCAGAGCGTCGACGTTCAGCCGAGAAGGACCAACAAGTCCGGGACTCGAGCAGAACCGTCGACGCTCAACAGAAGAGGCTAGACGGCGCAGATGCTAGGCGACGGGAAGTGAAGACATCTCGATCTCAGGAAGACGCGAAAGTCACGAAAGCGACAGACGCGGCCGAGAGCGTGTCGAGGAAAATCGCGGCGAACGAGGCGGCCGCCCCGATGGAGATACCGAAGGAGGAATGGGCTTGCGAGCATTGCACCTTCATCAACAAGATCAACGATCGTGTCTGCGTGGTATGCTGCAAGACGAAGAGCAGCGCGCTGCCGCCGAGCAAGCCGGACGACGACCTCGAGGTAGCCGCCGAGCCTGCGGTGCCGCGAGCGCAAACCAAATGCGCCGAACCGAGCCGCGCCGATAATCCCGCTCCCGATCTCGAGAAGAAGACTAATCGGCTGAAGATCTCGAACAGCGAGGAGAGCGGCGACAGCGGATCCGTCAAGAACAAAGGTAGACCGAAGCGCAAAATCAGCTTTTCCTTCGGTACCAAGTCGTCCAAGTGACCGGGTCACCCGTCATGTGTCGTGCACCCGGCGGTCTGTGTGATCGCGCGCACCCTGTCCATCTGTTTCCGTCCTGAAATGCGACCAGCTCGAATTTTGTTCGTATGTCTTCCCTTCGTCTGTCTTTCTCTTTCTCTCTGTTTTTTGTTTCCACTTTTTTTTCTTGTCCTTGTTTTTTACGTGTCCTCGAAGCGGCGGTCGCGAGCCGCGCAGGAATGGTGGTTGTTCTGTCCATCGAGATGTATTGGATCTTGGATGAATAATAAAGAGACCAAACTGTTTTTCGTATACGCTCAAACAACGGCACCAAATGCATAGTCGTATTTGAAATTCGGCCATCTTCTGCGTGCGTTCATGTCCGAGCTACTATATTATTCATTCAAGAGGCGGTGGTTTCAAGCACGAGCGTGCATTTGGCGCGTGTTCCTTTATTCCGCGGCCAGCCGCCGATGACCGAAACGATCGGTTGGACATTGTGCGTTCGGCATGAGAATATTAAAACGTGTCAACGACAGGAGATTGCGGCGATAATCGAAAATGTCGCACAGGTGGTTGATTAAATTCACGATGTTTCTCCTCCCGCGACAGAATTGCCGATCAAAATCTGCCCGCGCGAATTATTATTAATAATAATTTCATCAGATTTCGATGCTGACGTACGTTAAATCATTAATACTTGCGGCCGTGATAATTGTATCAGCAGTGTGGTGCGAAAAGCGAGGCGACAGTATCATAAATGTACGTTCGTGGATGGCCTTGAAAATGATAATATAAATGTATCATGATGCTCTTTGTCGGAAGCTTGTCAACATGACGATCGATCAAGTCGACACTTATTTGTTGGAGAAAAATCGTAGTCTTACCGAGTAGAATAGAATAATGTTCAGTCGGATCGCGAATTATGGGGAAAAAATTTGTGATTCGCAGATGCAATTATTCTGGACGATGGTCCTTCTGTAGAAAACCTCGAAAGCACAATCGAAGCTGCAGCTTCGCAGACAGAAGACAGCTGGAAGTCCGCAGCCGTGACATCGCCAGTCGCGGAGAACGTGTCGTTCGAGGCACCATCCTCGACATTGGTGTCTTCTTCGATTGTCAATGACATGAAGATGGATATCAATGGGACGTCACGTCAGGAAAATATCCGAGGACAACTTGTCAAGAGTCATTCTGTATCTACGGGAACGTCTCCTCCACCGCAGAGTATCTCGACGCAGGTAAGGATCATTCGAATAAGATATTATTTATAATCAGACATATGGACGGCCACATACAAACACGATGGAAATGAAATACAATATGAAGGAAATTTTATTCGGGAAAGATATTCTGTAAAAAATATTTCAGACGTACGAGTATCTTCCGGTGAGGGGAACTCTTGGGAGGTCCGCGTCGGTGACGACGTCCAAGAGTTATTTGTATTACGACGACAGCGACGGAGAGGTGAGCGAAGAGTCACAGTTGAGTTAAGAACAAGATAATCGATGAGATGTCTCGCTTTCATATCGCCGCGCGTTTCATGCGTACTGGTAAAAAGAGACGAGGCGGAGTATTTGTTCCAGGAGCAGAGTCGATTCGCGAACAGTCCCGATCTGTATCCGCGGGCCTTCCAAGAGCCGTATCTGCAGCAGCAACAGCTGATAGCCAGCCAGGGCAGGGAACAACGGACAAGGAGAAACTCCATCGACTCGTCCCATCTCTATTACCGTTCCAGGGTAAACTCAAACTTGCGAACTAAGCCTCGCAGATTGTCCGCCGTACACGTCTCATCACCCTTAACGCAATCCAGCCCTGATCCAAGTTAACCCAATTAGTCTAGTTAGCCTCGGTGTGAACGTAGGCAGGATTTACTTTACTTTTTTTTAGCAACACCCAACCGCTCGAGAGTGAGTTCGCGCTCACTCATGTAATCACTGTGCTTACTCACATGACACGTTCTTACAGCTGCACACAGCTCTAATATTAATCTGGACGTGACGGCGTGTATGTATACAGATAATCCACGACGACGACGACGAGACCCCTACGTGATTGTGATTAGCTGTGTAGTTCACCATAAGTAACACCGTCCACCGACTGCGATCTGCGCAATCCTCCATGTTGTTCGCGAAAACGATGATGATCGCCTTCGCTGATGTGTGCCTTCGCGTTTCAGGAACCAAGCCAGCCGAGGTACACGGAGGCGGCTTCCAGTTCCGGTCAACAGGGTATCTCTACGTTGACACGCCAAGGGTTGGAAGTGGTGGAGTTGCTGCGTGACGCCGAGAGGCAAGGCTTCACCACCGACGACGTTCAAGTGGCGTTGGCGCAGGGCGCGGCGAACCCGCTCGAGTGGTTGAGAACGCAGTGGCCGCATCTGGTGGAGACGGTGCAGGTGTTGGTGACCGCGCAGGGTAAAGAGCTGAAGGAGAACACCGTCGGCGTCCTCTCGCCGGCCGAGGCGAAAGAGGCACTGCGATCAGTCAAAGGCGATGTATGGAACGCCGTCGCCGCGGCCATTCGACGCAGGCAGCGGAAGGTGCGTGCGAGAGCAGAAAAATTCCGTAATTTTATCTATGTGTATATAAAATGGAATATCTGTGTGTCTTCTGTAAATTCTTAAATCCTTTGACCGATCTAGACCAAATTGCATGGTTACTCTCTACGACCCTGCGGAAAATGTAGGCTACGTGAACACTGATTTTATTTGGATAGAGTTCCAGTCTCTTCTGATTCGTACTTCTCGTTCTACAGTGCGATCAAATCATGGCAAAAGGAAACTTCATATTGGCAGATGTTGTTAAAGCCTTGGACAATAATGCCGGCGTCGAGGACGCGACTCTGCTTGAGTTGCAGAGAAATCAGCTCAAGCCCTTTTTGATGAGGATCTGGGGCCCTCCGGTCGGGGTGGAGAACGATGAGGCTGCACCGCACGAAGGTCAGTGGATGTCACGCGATAATTGCGAGGGCAGGGTAAGCCGAATATTTCGAGCGTAATATATTAGAGAAAATATCCGAGAGAAAAGAAAATTTAATCATTGAAGAAGAAAGAAATAAAAATATAATTTATTGATTGTTAAATAGCCAAAAAATGATGATTCAATGTGACATTTGTTATTGCATGTCTTTTGCAAATAAATTATTCATTTCTTACAAGCGATGGGAAGCTACACAGAGGGAGGAAATATTATCGATTTTTCTCATATAAATTCTTCTCAATTTTATGTCATATAAATTCTTTCTCAATTTTGTGTTTCTAGTATTGCTGGGATAGTATTGTTGGTAAGATCTACATCTTGCTGAAGAAAATAGCCAACTTTTTACACATTTCAATTTCTAAAATATAAGTAGCATACGTGAAATGAGAGGATGTCGACCTTCTCTCCGATTCCGAAGCCAATTTTTACTGTAAAATTCTGTCAGCATACGATCTTGCAGAATTACAAACGATCAAATTATAATCTTAGCAATCGCGACGCGCTCATGTTATATTTATATGATCTCTTATTATACTCTGATTTATCTGCCGCAGACGCAGCGGGTGCGGTCGGCGGCGGGGCGGGATTGCCCGTGGAGCAAGTACCGAATGTATCCGATACGGAGGCGAGGAAGCAGGTAATGTCACCAATTGTTGATCATTTCGTGGCGTTGCAGGCCGACTTTGAAAAGCATCTGGCGGCCCTCCGAGAACTGACCGATAACAGGCGACACGAGAAAGACCCCCCGTACGAATTGGGTAGTAAGTCTGATAATCTGTACGACCACTACGATGACAGTAGCACTGTTCTAATCAATACAAATCTGGTACCAAGGGCCGTACAAGCGCTCGACGTAGCGGAGGCGGGCGATCTAGTTGCGCGGCAAAGACAGGCGACCGTAGATACTCGAGAAGACGCGAGGCGCCCGTCGAACGCCACGAGATCGTCGGCTGACGATCTGGACCGAGTAGACGGCGCGTCGATCTCCACGGAGATCCCCGCGGAAACGACGCACGATAATCTCGCGAACGCGAACGCGAACTCGCCGGCTGGCGAGGAGAGCACGGTTGGATCCTCCGCGAGAAACGACGAGACCGGTCGCGACCGCACGATCGGGAAAACGTCGCCGAGCGATGAGGGCGAGGCCGTCGCGCCCGTAACCGAGACCGATCTCCCCAAGCTCGACAACGGTCAGATAAATAAGAACGATAAGCGGCCGCTCGAGGATCGCGAGAACGAGAGGCGCGTCGATACCGCGGCGTTATCGATTACTAACGAAACTGCGGAACCCACGGCAAAAAAAGTCACGAGCCATTCATCGTTACCGGGAGAAGAGCGGGAAAGATCGTCATTGGCGAATAATGCCGGGGCTGAAGCGTCCTCCACGTCGGCCGAAACTTCCGCGCGCAACACGACGAATTCGAAACCAGGTCGAGCCTCTCCTCGCCAGGAGAAGACTTGGAACACCGCCGAATCACGTAATATAGCGGCGAACAACGAGGCGCTCGTTGAAGTTGAGAAGACCGCGGAGTCGAGCGAAGAAATACTTGGGGTCCCCGCGCAAGGTTCGAGTGCTCCCGAACGAGTCGACGTATCGCGGACATCCTCGAGCGTCGACGCGACGAGCTCGATGGGGAAGCCTCGCGATGCGTCCGAGGAAGGACTTCTCTTGACGGATCGCTCTAGTCGACCGCTCGCGACACCCGGACAGAATGACGAGTCGCGTGCCGCGGTGGAGGTTCTCATGTCGGCCATGAAGTCGCTGCCGGAGCAGTTCCTGGCGCCCTTCGTCACGGCGATGCAGATGTTATCGCCGAGGGAATCGACCAAGGGCGACTTGACGCCCGACGTCGAACTGATGAATCAGCTGAACACTCTGCACAGTATGAGAGCCGTCGCTGAAGAGCCGAATGCCACACCCGCGAGCGGCAACGCGGACGTCATCCTGAGAAACCCTACCGACGAGGAAGAGCCGTTTCATGACGCCGTTTCACCGGCGAGTAAAATAGAGAGGTCGCAACTGAAGAGGATCAACGATAACAAGGGCAACATATCGAAAGTCCCAGACTCTCGGCTGCTGAGGCTCCGCGCCAGCGTTCCGGACATCAAGCAACAACATCAGGACGTTAGATCGGTATGTACAGACTCAGGCAAGTTTGGCGCTTTGCATGCCGACGTCGCGAGCCCGCTCTCGGACCCGGTGGACTCGCGGTTAACCGACGGAGGCGTCTCCAGCGTAGGCTTGGCCACGAATGAAAGGGCGCAGGGACTCGCGGTCGAAGCGTCGCGAGCAGACGTCGTCACGAGAGAAGTGCAGTCGCGCGAGGCTTCTCAGGAGACCGTCGACGGGTCCGCGGGAAGTGACGACCGAGAGACACCCGTCGAGAGCGGAGCCGCGTCGAAGGCGAAATCGGTCGGGGAGACGAGCGAGTCGTTAGAAGCGTCTTCCACGCACGATCGAGCTGCGATCATCCGGGAGCCGCTCGCAGTCGTGATCGATGACTCATTGCCCAACGCGTCATCATCGCTATCGTCATTGCCATTGTCATCGTCATCATCAGTAAAGGAAGCGAGGAACTCTTCCGTCGCATGTAATAAGCAGCTCGCGGCCGATAACGCTTCCTCAGTCGTTGAGTCGCCTCTGGCGCCGCGAGACGAAGCTTCACCCGCTGCTGCGGGCGCTCCTAATGCTGAAGAATTCACCCCTCAAGCGCAATCAGTAACCGCGGAAACGAACGTCCCCGGACGCGGTTCCGACGCCGATCAGCCGCCTGACCCGGGCGTCTCGGGAGCCGCGAATCGCCCCGTTGAAGTCTCGGAAACTCCGCGCACACATTCGCACGATAGACCCGACGCGAGGGCGATCGTCTCCAAGGATGCGGTGCACGTTTCGGAAAAAGTGGAGCAGACGATTTCAGTCACATATCGCGCGCCCGCGAACGGCGATAAGAACGAGAGCATGTCGGGGGAAAACGTGCCGCTCGGGCGAAATGCAACCGATAATTTATCCATTGTTCAGTCGCAAATCAACGAGAGTGTCCCGCCGGTACCGGCTGACTCGCACGCTCCAGTTGCGGTGAATTCGAGCAATTTGCGCGATCGACAAGAGGCGTTCGCCTCGACGAGCTCCAATAACGCGCCGGCCGCCGAGGGGCCTGCAAAAGGTGCGGAAGACGACCCAAGTGGAGAAGAATCGGCCGTCGATCGACGAACGATCGCGTTCACGCACGATTCCTCGGCGCGACAGGAAACGACACCACCTTCTCACCTCGGCAAATCCGCAGTCATAGCCCGCAGAGAAACGTCAGAGGCTTCCGCGGAGTACATGGAGACTTCAGGAAGCAATCAAGCGGATTCCGTCGATCCTCGCGAAAGCCGATCGAGACCGGCTATCGACGAATTCACCTCTTCCACCGCGAACAGCGAGCCCTGCGATGCGAACATCCGCGAATTAACGGATACTAATAACAACACGGCGAATTCTCGAGAGTGCGCCGCGGATATTCTCGCTACGAACCCCGACTCCGAGGGTGTTTCGCATTCCGTGGAGAAACTCGACCCGGGAAACGAGGTCTCCCAACGTGGCCGCGTCCACGGGGAACGAGACGTGCGACCGGCGAAGAAGAGTATCCTGCAAGCGCTCAAAGAGAATCTCAATGTATTCTTCGCGTCGCAGAGCGAAGGGAGGAACGTCGACGCGACGGTTAACGAGCAGCCCCCGCCGGCGAGCCTTGTCGAGGCGAATATCGGCGACGTGACGTCCGGAATAACCGATACCTTCGAGATCAAGATATCGGAGGCGGCCGCGATAACGGTGAACGATTGCGCGCCGATCAGTGACGTCGCGAGGGTCGCCGAGCGTCGCCACGGGGGAGGAAGTCTCGAAGACATTGACGCGATCGACATCTCGGCGGAAATCGCCGACCCGTCGGGAAACGAAGTCTCGGCGGTTGCGGGTAACGAACCGGTCGGCCTGCCGTCAAAATCGCCGAATGACGAATCGACCACGACGACGGAGGCTGCGCGGGTGAGTCAAGGTCGTGGGAGCATGATCGCGAGACCCGTCGTAAAAGTGACGCGATCCAGATCCCCGGTGAAGAAGGTCGTTCGCAGGAAATCGCCCGTTAAAGTGGCGAGGAAATCCAGCGGCATACCGAAGAAGAATTCCGCACGGATCAGCACCAGTCCGAACAGCACGACCGTCGCGAGGGCGAGGGAAACGGCCAGCAAGATCGCAGGGAAGTCGAGTCTTTCGCAGCCGAACGCGAGGAACGATCAGCGGCGAGCTGAGGAGTCCTCGAGATCCGCGAGTATCCCGAACGATCAGGTAGGAAACGGTAAAAGCAGGTCGATCGCGCCGGATAAACCGATCAAACGGCCCTTAGCCAACGGCGGCGTGCAGAAAAACACGGCAGATGTCAAATCGAACAATCAGAAGAGAGTCTCCAGCCTTAGCACGCAGAAAACATCAGTCAACGAGGTTGATTCGAAACCGCAAGGTAAATCGCTCCTTACGAAGAAAAACGGTGGCCAGAAATCGCAGGAACAAACGTCTGAACGTGCCAGAATCAAAAAGAGCGGAGATACCAGCAGTGAAAAAATGAGAAAATCGAAAATTGCAAGGACGAAGGCCTCCGGAGATCAAGAGATGGCGCATCGCGAAACGGACGTAGAAACTTCATACAACAATGAAACGCCGGTGAACACCACTGCGACAGATAAAATCGAAGATAATGCAAAATCCAAAATAACTCCACCGTCAAAAATACCCATTTTAATGCGCCGGAAGATTGGTCAATCGACAGATCGAGCAGCCTCGCTAAACAGTCCTGAAAAAAGCTTAAAGGTCACGTCGCTGTTGAAGAGCGTCTCGACCAAACTACCGATAGCTTCGCAGGTCACTTCAAAATTAACTCTGAAGATACAGAACAATATGCCGAGCTCCTCGGCTACGCGGACGATCGGAGTCAAGGGTAACTCGGCAGGTAATGAGATTAAATCCAGCAACGCGGAATCGATCGGAGAAAGGACGGGAGTCACGCAAGACGAGCATATCACGGAGAGGAATCGGTCAGAAGAAAGTGGCGGGAATCAGGAAGTCATCGAGGAGCCGAGATTTCAGACGTCAGACTCGGAATCGAAGTTAAAGGAGAATGAGCGGACGACAACGTCGACGCGCAACGATCCGTCAACGAATATTGGTGAACAAACGGAGCTCGTTGAGGACGCGGTCGAGGAAAGCTCTGACGCCCTCAGCTCCGACTCCCAGTACTCTGAGGAGGACGAAGACACGGGAACGGCGCAGTACATCTCCGATCATAACTCGGAGTGCAGTTCCATCGAGGAGTTTACGGATGCTGAATTGTTATTGGAAAAAACATTGAACGAGATCAGATCAGAGATATCGGAGGAGGAGGAAGAGGAGGAGAAGGAGGTAGAGGAGGACGAAGAGCAAAGGAGCGCGTCCGAGGAGAGCGAGGATATCACTTATTCCTACAAGACAGAGAGCCACGAACCGAGCCGCGAGTCATCCGTGTCGTCCGCAGGTTTGGCTGATAAGCGGGAGCGGATCGACTCGAGCGAGCTGGAAGACTCGGCCGAGGAAGATCTCTACGAGGAACTGCCATCCGAGGAAGAAGAGGCGAGCGGGCAACTTCAAGCCCCGAACAAACGACTCGAGGTGAAGGAGGAAGCAGTCCGCGACGTGCTCCTCGACGAAGCGGCCGATATCGAGATCCTCTCCCACGTCTCACTTGAGGCAGAAGGTAAGGTTGAAGTAACGACAGAACGCGAGACGAATCAACCGAAGTCGCCGACGGAAGCTGTGGCCTCGCTCGTGGAATCGACTCGATTGGAAGCCACGAGCGCGGAAATCGACGAAAAGACACCGCGGGAAGTTCCTGGAGACCTCCAGGGCCCGAATTCTAATATCCTCATGACAAGTCCGACACCTGCGCAGCTCGAGCGGCCCGAGGAGGACGTTCGCTTGCTGGAAGTCGACTTCAAGGAGAACGAGGCGAGACTCAAAAGCGAGATCGAGCAAGAGACTCAGAGACGACCACCGGCCGCGATGCAGAACGGCACGAGGAAGCCGTCGAGAGTCGCGAGCGCGAAGCGCGCCAAGATAATAGGCCGAAGGGCGAGCACGGGCAGCAAAGGGCTGAGAAGCGAGAGGGACGACTCGCCAAAGGGTGTAGACCGGCCGGGCGCACCCCGGAAACGATTCTCCTTCGTAGCCAGCTGTATCCGTCGTTTCGAGGGCCAAGAGAGTGCCGAGAAGGCACACGACGCGGGCAACACCAAGGTCGCTCGACGGGAGACGCGGCGCGACGACACTCAGGGATCTCCCAATACGGAACGGGAGGTCAGTAGTAGACGAGAGCTGCCGGGTGATCCACCACGTGGCAAACCCCTTATAAACGCGCGTGTCGTTTGCCGGGAAACGAGAAAGACAGTTCAGTCGAAGTTCACGCCGCGAACCGACCTCGCTCGAGCTCCCGTTGGCGAGCCAATGTCTACAAACGGCTTGGGACGTTGGACGAGAGGCCAAAGTCGAGCACGAACGGCTGAACAAACTCCCTCGAGATGTTTTAACCCCTTTCACCCCGTTGATTATCGATAGTGTAGTCTGATCGCGATGTAACGGGCGCGATAAGAATTAGCGACTAACGTTCCGGGCGAGGGTGAGTATCGTGTCGTCGTAACTAACTCGTCGAGACAAAGAACAGGGTTGTATATGTGAGTTGTGTGTGTGAGGGGTGTCCCCATAAAATGTGATTAATTATTTAGGATTAATTGTTGCGTGCGCGCGGGATACACTATGGACGCGTCGGATTGCCACCCCTGTCAGTTTTATTTCAGGTGTACGCGCCGCGCTTTCTGTTTTCGGACGCGCGCAATCCAGGACACTCGCGGCGGTCCCGCAGCGCTAATTGCGACCGTATAAATTATGTATTTCGAGTGAGAGAAGTTCAAGAGCTCGTTTCTAGACGTTGGCGCGCCCCACCGTTCACCCCTTTCGTCCTCCCGCATGATAGAAGTCTTTCAAGTGTGTTTTAAAGTGGACTTTTAAGTACACACTTAAAAGCTCCCGTTTCTTCATCACGACCTTGTCGCGTCACGACGTTGGCGAGAATTCGCGCGAGAGTCTGCACGTCGAAGTAGATCGGTTCTTCCGACGTGTTAGCGCGAGTTTTCAATAAAACACAAGATTCACGTCACTTCCCATTTGCGACGATTGGCTATGATTAACGACTAGGAGTCTGATAATCCTTGAATGAACACATTTGGAATGTTTCGCCGAACGTTAACCACAGTTCAATGGTTTCTTTAAACACCTAATTCGGTTAGGTATCCGTGTAATTACACATTGAGAAAGAAATGCTTGGTATTTATGACTATAATCACACAGAAGTAATCGCTATAAATCATGGCTAAGAAAGTTATTTTTTAAATTGAACTCTACTATAACGTTAGTGATAATAACCTTACATATACATGTCACTGCTGCTATTTTTCGTATTAGAACAACCAAAAAATATGGTTAGGGCCGGAAATAACTATAATTTCGATTAGACTAACCAGTTTTCAAGATCAAGTCAAATAATTCCTTGCGAGTGTATAATACATCTGAAATTAATCATGACAAATGAAATTAGAGCACGTCGTTCCCCCGATATCGCAAGTTTTGAGCGAATCGCACTAACGTCCACGTATAGACCCGAGAACGGCATCGCGACATTTCGCGCGTTTGCATCGATAGACGTTGATCTTCGAGGTTTTCGCGCCTTTAGACCGAGATTTTTCGACAAGGCCGGCCGAGATCTACGTTCTGTATGTGGAGGTTGTGCATGTGTCGATATTGGCGCCGTGTTATGTTTGTCACGTGTGCAGAGAATAGCGCGTCGCCTGTTGGCGGAGGGTCGAGCGGCGAATTACGATGAGGCCGAGGTGGCTGCCAGTCTGCTGGCCCTCAAGTTCGGCGACGTCGAGGCGCTCCAGGCCGCAAAGGAATGCTCCAGCGTGGAGTCCGCGCTGGCCTTCCTGCAGCAGGAGTGCGAGCTGTGCACCGGCCGTTTCGCGATGAGTCAGGTGAGTGTCCGCCGGCTTGTTCGCCGAAATGCGCAATCTAGAAGATGCGGGAGAGAAAGAGGCAACTGCTACGCGGTGAGAAGCGAAACGCGTCCTGGTTAACGCGGAAACGGGAACGACGGCTTCTCGACAACGTGGACAACGTGCCGTATCTTCCACTAGTAGATTTCATCTTCTCACGCGCGACAGGGGGGAAATATCCGAGAGGACTCGCGGCCACGTAGACGAAATTAATGATAGAATCGCCGATAATGGCGATCGCTAATAATGAAACGCGACGTCACTTCGCGTTGATAACGATAATCGATGCAGCAATCGAGAGGTGTGTCAGGGAGAACGAAATTGTATGATGATTAATTAATCGCACTTCATTAACGGGAAAATAATCTCACTTTGGCGTTCGAAGTGAGAAAGAAGAAGGAAGAGAAGTGACAGTAAACGTTCAATCGCTTCAACGCTTCAATTATACTGCTTATTGCTTCGACACTTCGATTACTTTTGATAATCGCGACGCCGCAGATGGTGTCCATGCTGAAGTGCGTGCATCGATGCTGCAACGAATGCGCGAAGAATTACTTCACCATCCAGATCAGCGACAGGAACATCACGGATGCCGTCTGTCCGTACTGCAAAGAACCCAATCTCAAGGACGCGAGCGAGGACGAGGTGCTTGAATATTTCAGCAATTTGGACATCCAACTGAAGGCCCTGCTGGATCCGCCGATCCACGAGCTCTTTCAGAGAAAACTCCGGGACCGGACTCTGATGCAAGATCCGAATTTTAAGTGGTGCATGCAGGTGGGAATTCGCTCGGGAGACCTTTGAGCTCGCACCACCATGTGAGACGGCGTTATTTCCTCGTTTTTCTTTTCTTTCTTTCAGTGCTCGAGCGGATTCTACGCCGATCCCGACCAAAAACGCTTGATCTGTCCCGACTGTCGATCCGTCACTTGTGCCTTCTGTCGAAGACCGGTGTGTACATGTGCTTCCGTCTGTTTACGTATGTTAAGACTCCTGGCTATTCACCGAGACAGTCTTGATTGATTGACGTCAGAAATGCAAAGAATTGCATGCAAAAATTCCTACAAAGTATGTCGAAATAAAAAGATGCATTCAAAAAACAATCACAACTTGCAATCGATTAAGCACATTTCTAAAACACTCCAAACACATTCCTTTTATTCTTTACAAATCATTGTAAAATTAATAAGGAAATGTAGGTTGAAAAGAAAAGTTACATGTCATGTGTCACTTTTTGGATATATATTTTTTTATTTCGACGCACTTTGTAGGATTTTTCGGATTTTTTGGATACATTTCCTTGTTTTTTATGTCATGGATTTTGTGGCGAGTAGCTAAGAGACTTAAATGAAACAGTAATAATAATTTTTCTTCATTTTTTTTCCTTTCAGTGGGAGAAACAGCACGAGGGAATATCGTGCGAGAAATTCGCCGAATGGAAGGACGAGAACGATCCCGACAATCAAGCCGCAGGTTTGGCCAAACACCTAGCCGATAATGGCATCGACTGTCCCAAGTGCAAGTTCCGTTATTCTCTATCTCGAGGAGGTAAGGACACGACAACAAAACTATTGCCCCAAGCATAACTTCCCGGTGCGCTTTCCTGATTTCATTCTTCACCGCACGATTCTCCCGTTTAATTCCCGCATTATCAATCTACCTTGATTTTCGAAATCATCGAATATTAAGCATCTCTTTCTCTCAAAAATTGATTCGCAATCCATTAATATAATTTATTTCTTGCCCGGAAATTTGTTGAATAAAACGATGCATTATGACAATTTTTTCTCTTTCGTACAATATCTCTAAAAGAATTCATCGACATTAAATCAAAATGTTCGAAATAAAGCTCGCGCGAGATACATATGGATCATATGGTCGTCAATATTTACGACATACATGCACCGATATGCTAATACGAGGATTAACGAATAGCGATGGCAATTATTGTTATAATATGTACGGGTCGTTTTAATATCGTGTTATTTTTCACCGACGCGTCGCGCACGGAAATTTAATACGCCCCTCTGGCGCGCGGCATATTTTCTCTAAATTATTCGATATGCAAATCGCGCTGCACTTTTTTGTCGGCGACTCACTGAAGGAGGACCTCGTGAATTTTCATAGGTTGCATGCATTTCACGTGCAGCCAGTGTAAATATGAGTTTTGCTGCGGTTGCGGCAAGGCCTTCATGATGGGGGCGAAATGCCCGGTTAGCCCTTATTGCGCCAAACTGGGTCTGCACGCCCATCATCCGCGCAATTGCCTCTTCTACCTACGCGACAAGGAACCCGCACAGCTGCAGCAACTGCTGCAGGAGAACGGCGTAGATTACGACACCAACGGCCCGGCCGGGGAGCGCAAGTGTAAAGTGCAACTGCAGAAGGAGACGCCAACTGGGCTCGTGGACGCAGTGTGCAATTCCGACGTCGTCGAGGGCCACGCCGGTCTCTGCAGGTGAGATCAACCACAGCGGCTTGCAATTGCGAGAGTGAGGAAACTCACATCTCCAGAGAACATTGAGGAGTCGTAAAATTCGAGAAGGAAAACTCTTTCTAATAATTATATCGATTAAAGTTGCCAAAGAATAACGTTGTATCAAGTTGGTGCAAAAGGTCTATCGTTTCTCTCTTAAATTCTTGTTTGAGTATCAGAAGAAAAATAGGAAGTCCTCGTTAAATGTCTGAAAACCAAGTCGATTTTCTTCATTTTATTCGTAATAATTATACAATACAAATATCTAACAGAATGTGTGAAAGATCATAGATATCTCTGAGATGTATTTTAGACATTCGTACTGTTTGGATTAATCCTTCAAAAGTGGACAATTTTGTTTTCCATTTTGTCTGACTGACACACGATAAAGCTTCGGCACCAACTCCAGCACCTCCAGAACGCGTTCCGCGAGAGTGCTCGTCGTTACCGTTCAATCAATTAACAATCAGCGATAACGGCGAGTTGCTCACGATCAGTAAAAATCGTCGCGACGCAGATTGCAACGTGACGCCGAAAGCATCTCGCGCTTTGCCGATCTCGAGCGCACGTTCGCAGCGAATACAGATTTCTATTGTTGAGCGTTGGAAGGAATCCAGATCGGCGCGGTCGAAACGCGCGTGTTTGAATAATTCAAGCTGGTCGATGGGAATTTCTTACCGTCGTCGTGAGCTGCCGCGCTGTTATCCGCGTTTGCCTCTTCGGCGAACGGTCCGTTTGTTTGTGTTTCTCAGAAGAAAAGAAATCTCCCTCTTTGCACAAATAATCGACGCGCAATCCGGAACTGTGCGCGATGCGGCGCGTTATATCGCCGCGATGATTGTTCAAAAATCAGAGGCGATTAGGAAGTCCCCACGACGGAATAAACTCGTACTCGCTATCGATCGATCGACGTTAGAATTTCACTCACGCGCCGTTGTCGGGGCGATCGCTTCCAATTTCGAGGCGAGTCCCGTGACCACGACCACGACGACGACGAGGACGACGAAGACGACGACGACGAAGACGACGACGACAACGACGAGGACGACTAAGACGACGACGACGACAACGACGATGACGACGGAATCGTTCATTCGATCGCTAACGAGGTCCCTCCGTATATCCCAGGATTCATTACATCGAGTATCTAGTTCGAAAGATCTGTATGACGCGGCTGGATCCGCTGCCCTTGCTAAACATGGACGATCTCGAAACGTGCGTGCGACGCGCCGGGCTGAAATTGCCCGCCAACTGGTACGGTCGCGACCCGGAGCATTACAAGAACGACCTGGTCGAGGTAAACGCAAGGGGCGGAAACGCGTGATACACGCATGATCCGACTAAAATCTGGGTACTTTTCCCCGCAGGCAGCACTACATTGAGTACTTGGCGGGCCTGGTACTCAAGAGCAGGCTGGACCCGGTGATGATCTTTGACTTGAACGACGCCAAGCAAGAGTTGCGCCGACGGGGAAAAGTTCCCCCTGCGAAGGACCAGGAAATGTCCGAGCGAGATTATCTCGAGGCGTGCATCCAGGTGACTAACACAAAACCTTCTCCTTCCTCTCTTTCTCCTCCTCTTCCTCGCCTTTCTCCTTCTCTTCCTACTCCTCATGAGTTCGCTTCATCCAACTCTCCTCGCTGCCTGCTCCTCTCCCGCCGCGACCCACTGACCGAATTAACAGCAGTTGCATGATGAAAGTAGAATTCCCGCGTTGCACGAGACTCTCCCATGCCTAAAAACTGTAAAAGTGAATCAATCGCCGTGAGTAACGCCGTCGAGCGACCGCTACGTGTGTGCGAGCGCGTCTCGTAACGCGACTTTACACTTCGATCACAATTATTGAAGAAGATATTATAGTCATAAAAATTTCTTCTAGTAATCTTGACCTTGGCAAATCGAGAATTTGCAGCAGGTACCATTTAGTGAAGAGATTCACGCGCTCGACGTTATCCGACATCGTGGATTCCGAACGTGGTCGTTTACGGTTTTCCTCCGCGACTGAACGACTTTTGATAAGAGTTTCCTGTTTTCTTCTTTTTTTTTTCTTTTTACGGGTGTCGAAGTAGACATAGACGATGCACGAGCAAAGTGCATGTTGCTAGAATACATTAGAATTAAGCTCACCGTCAAATATAAAGCGTAACTCCAATGTTGCAGGTCGTAAAGCGAGAGATTCCACTGGAATGATTGCGGCAGAGTGATCTCGAAAAGACGCGCACTAAATAATGAAAAAGCCACGAATAATTGGGCGTATTGTATAGTTTACTTATCTCACTTGTGTGGACCATGAGTAAAAATATAATACATAGAACTAGAGAAAGAGAGAAAAAGAAGTAATATGACGCGCGAACATCGCTCCGTATATAATGCCAAAGATCTATTTATTTTCTCGACTCTACGTAATAACGCCATTTCTACGATCTGACTCGTAACGTTCTATTGTCGCGATGCAAATATCACGAAGAGAAGTAGTACAATCGAAGACGCGGAGTAAACGAATGTCCCTTTAATGATGGGTAGAAGAATTATCTGTGGGTACTCTTGCAATTAATGTTTGAAGATGTGTACGTATTTCTGCTTTATATAACTGTTTTCCAAGAAATAGATGGTAATTAAGAAAACTACGCCAGTTACGAATTTCTTCTTTCCCGATACCTCGTTAGATTCTCGAGGAAAATAAGGATTCCAGTTTATGCAGAAGATATTCAATGATCAACATCTAAAGAAATAAATCTCACGCTTTCTGAAATGTCATAAGGATAATTAAATAAACCAGTCTTATCTTTAAAAAATAAGTGATATATAACACGAGAATTTCGATTTATGTCGCAATAATTCTTCTCAAATGACGTTTTCATTGCAGTTATTTATTAAAAGTTATTACTGTGCATTACTAAAAAATATTTACAGTATACAAAACGTTTATAATCACGTTCTTTATAATCACAGTTAAATACAGTTTTATCTACAACAGTTTTATTTACATCTTTAACATAGTTGTGCTAGAAAACTGCGTAAGTTTTTATTCTTTGTAGGTGTTGTCATACTGTCGTTTACAATATTTCTCAATCGCACTATGTTTAGTTTTTTGGCTTTTTTAGTAGAACTAGCTAATATCTTTTTAGCACTCATTTTAGGTGTTGATACGACTGGTTTATGGGTGTTGATTTTAGGAGTTGATACGACTGGTTTGTGGGTGTTGATTTTAGGTGTTAACATGACTGGTTTTGTGGGAGTTTTACTGTCATTTTTCTTATTTAACGGTGACTCCAATTTGCCTGAAATATTTAAGCCTGCAGTTTTGTCCTTAGATTTCTTCTTTTTCTTCTTCTTATGACTACTTTGTGGCATTTCTATATGGGAATCATCCAAATTGTCTTTAGCAGGTTTCAACCGATCTTTCTTTTTAAACGGTAACACTGTCTGTTTAGAGCAAACTGAGCACTTGATAGCTAACTTATTCATCTCATTTTTCATAGCTTTCTGTGCCAAGGAAACGCGCACTTTTGGGATATCCTGATCACCTTCATTCATACATTTTATAATCCTTTTAATCGATTTGGATATTTTCCTACCAGGTATTATCCGAGCTTGATAATCCATAGTGTTCCAATGTGATCCACAATGTATACACATCATAGATGGTCCAAACTTTTGCTTCGGTAACTCTACCTCATTCTTGAAGCTTTTACATTTTTGCCTAAAAGTACATAGAAATTAATGGTATTCTTTTTTATATTATTAAAATTATATATTATATTTATATATTATTAGAAATTAAAGATACTTTTCTATCATCAATCACATTAACGTACATACTTTTATTGATACATATAGGTCTAATAAAATAAATATAATAAATAAAAATAGTAAATAGATAATAAAAAATAATAAATACGTAAAATAATATAAATATTTCACTATAATGTTTGTGCACACAAATAACTTAGTACTAATGCTAATTATATCTTAAACACAAACCAGTACGTTTTATATACGTTATTGTATATTTAAATAATATCCATAAATAATACGTTTTATGTACGTTATTGTATATTTAAATAATATCTATAAATAGTGCAAACTTACATATAAAATGTTTGTAATTCTGTGGTCAGTGGGCACTTCAACTTTGTTAAAACTTGATTGACATTCCATAAGTGTGCAACAGTCTCCATGATGATTGTTATAAATATGCAATACAAATGTTTATCACGAACCGTATATGCTATTTGAATCCCTATTAAGTATTATAAAGATTGTTTAATACACGCGAATGTTTAATCAGACTACAATTCCGTAAAACAATTCACCGGCTGTTGCCTTTGGTTTAAAGGTAGGTGTTTTAAATTATATAATATTCTGAATTATACAAAGATAATTCAAGCGGTCAAATGACCGAAACAAGTATAATTAAATATAGATTGAGCTCGATTATTATATATTATACGTTTATATATATTATAATCTAAAAATCACAAGAGAGTCATAACCTATCTCGACAGATGCTAATCACTAACCTCTACACAGGCCAACTCCAAGTTTGCTTTTTCAGCTGAATATCTTGCTCTGATACAAAAAATGTCCTTTTCGAAGCGTACTTTTTTAATCTTCAAAGTGCTTTTTGAACTGTCCCGATAGTGTCATTTTTGTCGAAATTACAATATGTTGTTTTTCCGTAAGAGCTAGAAAGTTACTACGGAAAGCAGCATATTGATTGACTGTCGCACGAACTTCCGCCGCGCGGTAAGCACTACCGCGTCCTGTGTGCAGGAGCCATTAAGCTGGTGGCACATAGAAAAACTTAAGCAGTAAGATGTAAGCAGTAAGCGAATCAGCCAATCACAGTCATTGATTCTTGGGCCGTAAGAAGAATCAATGACTGTGATTGGTCAATTTGCTTACTGCTTACGTTTTACTGCTTAAGTTTTTCTATGCGCCACCAGCTTCACACACACTTTCCGTAAAGCCTATTTTAAGCGTCTTCTACAATGGCAGTAGGAGTAGTAGTAAGAAATAAGCAGTAAGCAAATTGACCAATTCCATTCTCACGTTTCAAAAATAATCGATTGGTCTATTTACTTACTGCTTATTTCTTACTACTACTCCTACTGCCATTGTAGAAGACGCTTAAGTGTGATTATATACGTAAGAATCAACCAATTAGAGTGTTTTATTTACTGACTACATTATTATGATTGGTTGTCGTAAACATTTACAACCGTTTACAACTACGCTTACGCAATTGTAAAATGGCTTTAAAGCGTCTTCTACAATGGCAGTAGGAGTAGTAGTAAGAAATAAGCAGTAAGTAAATAGACTAATCACAATCGATTATTTTTGAAACATGAGAATGGAATTGGTCAATTTGCTTACTGCTTATTTCTTACTACTACTCCTACTGCCATTGTAGAAGACGCTTAACAGTAACCATAAGACGTAACGTAAGAATTGACCAATCACGTTAAGAATCGTCGAAACATAAGGTCGCCATTTTTGTGAATGCTCCATCGTAATTGGTCAATTCTTACGTTACGTCTTACGGTTACTGTTACGGAAAGTGTGTGTGAAGGCCTTTAGGCGGGAAGCACATGCTTTTGCATAAAGGCATAATGCACAACTCATAAGAAAATTGACCAATCAGAGTCCTCCATCTTCATCTTGGCGATAAAAATAAAGACTCTGATTGGTTCATTTCCTTATGTGTGTGTATTATGTTTTTATGCAAGAGTGTGTGCTTCCTGCTTTACTGTGAAAGTGTGTGGCCAGCTTAACCTTTGACGTCACTTCTGCTAGAAAAAACGCACCAATGTACACTTTTTGAACTAGTGCAAGAAGTTCAGCTGGAAAGAACAAACCTTTAGTACAAATCTTCATCCAGTACACTTTTTGTACACTCGTGGTCTGAAAGGTTTGTGCACCGATTTTTTGTAGATTTCGTAACACGTCCCAACTTCAGGAGAAAGACAACTACTGCTTGATACGCCAGCGCCGCCACTTATTACGAGAGCAGAAGGTTCCCAGACAGCACAAGATCTTCTGAGGACGTCCTAAGGACGTCCTGAGGACGAAGAATGTCCTCAGGACGTTCTCAGGATGTCCTCTGGATGTCCCCTGGACATCTATTGGTGCTATTAGGGATGGCATATACGATATATGCCATCCTTCTGCTCTCGTAATAAGTGGCGGTGCTGGCGTATCAAGCAGTATAGTTGTCTCTCTCTTGAAGTTGGGACGCGTTCCGAAATCTGTTTTCTAATGAATCCCGTACATTGATTCGTTCGTTTTTTGTAAGCGATTAAAAGCAAAAGAATCACTTTTACTTTAACGTTGTATAATTCCCGGGAAAAACCGTATTTTAATTGACTAATATACAAATTAAAGATTCATGCTTTCAAACGATCGTAACATCATTTTTGTGTAATTCATTTATATAGTAAGATAACGATCCTAATTCTAGAGTCAACATAATTTACATAGATTAAAGAGATTACTAATGGTCTGTTCTTTTCAGCAGTACAGCTGAAAAAAACAGACCAATAGTTTACAGAAGAAGACACGTTAGAACATTTGTATGTACGTTCACACGCGGGAAAGCTAAATCGTTTTGTTAAATACATTTTTAACTAACACTATATAATTAATAGTTTATCCTATAACAGGCAGAATGTTTATTATATAATTCAATGTTCAATATTATATAAAATTATTCATTTTAGCTTCTGTACACGAAAATAAGTATCGTAATGTTGTAATCAAACCGAGAAATTTCCACAAAAGGTTAAGTTGTAAATGACTAGAATAAATTTAAAATTTTTATATAATGATAGCGATGTTGTAACTGTCTCCTACGGAATATCAGTAAAGAATTTAAATATTGTGCCAAGTCAACAATACAATCGAAAATCTATTATATTTTTAGTATCTAGATGATTCTACATTTTGTAACTCTCTGATGTTTGCACTTTGACACGTAAAAAGATAAACTAGTTCCTTATCACACCAAATAAGATTGCTCAAGTGAATCCCAATGTTTAATATATTGAAGAGAATGACACACAGTACATCTATATCTTGCTGCACTCAAATGGGTACATCCTATGAGGTAAATATTTTAATATATCAAGCAATTATTTCATAAAATTCTGATATTTCAGTATATTATCATATATTTTATCATAACTTTAAAATCTTAAATGCTTCTGCTAGTACAGAGAAAATAATTTACTTTGGAAGTGACTTATGAAAAATTTTAAGTGAGTTACATAAAATATTGTTTAGCATTCAGTTGCATTTAAATTGTCAGTTTGTCTCAAAACTTAATTTATAGAAACTTTAAAGCAATACAGCCAATATAAATGTATAAAGAAAAATATCTGTTTATAGAGTATATATTATTTTTTTTTATAGGAAGCTATAAAAGCATTATGCCTTACTCTGCAAAACAATGCTGCGTATTTACAATCTGTTCAGCAGCATAAAGTAAACGATCCAAAAAAATTAGAAGATACAAAAAAATTTCTACTTAGGTAATATTATAATCTTAATAATTAGCCTCAAGCTTTATATGGATATTTATTCTATTTAGTCAAAATTCTATCAACAAAAAGTATTATATAAGAAATTTATTAATGTAAAAAGATTTTAATATAATATAATAATAATAATGATGATTTAATAATGACTTAATAATGATTTAATAATGATTGATTCTCATTATTGTAGTTTCAAATCATGTATTATATTAGCTATTTTACAGATCAGGTATTACTCTGGAGCAATTGGATAAACTATCCTTTATCCATGTAGCTGGCACTAAAGGTAAAGGATCGACATGTGCGATCATGGAGATTATTCTACGGCATCAGGGTTTTAGTACAGGTTTCTTCAGCTCGCCACACCTGGTCTCCGTGCGGGAACGCATCCGGATTAATGGTGAACCGATCAGCCAATCCTACTTTGCGCATTCCTTCTGGAAAGTTTATCGGCGTCTGGAACAGAATCGGGAGGACGAGTCGGATATGCCAACGTATTTCAAGTTTCTAACGATTCTCATGTTCCACGTGTTCCTAGAAGCGAACGTGGACGTGGCGATTGTTGAGGTCGGAATAGGCGGCGAGTTGGACTGTACCAATATTCTGCGGAATCCAGTCTGCGTGGGCGTGACCAGTCTGGGCCTGGAGCATACATTATTGCTGGGGAATACTCTGGAGAAGATCGCTCAACAGAAGTCAGGAATCTTTAAACCAAACGCAGTGGCCTTTACCGTACCACAAGCAGAATCCGCGATGTGTGTTCTACAGAAGCGCGCCATCGAGAGATGTTGTCGCAGTTTGAAAATCGTTTCCACGACACAAAATCAAGAATGGAACAAGATCTTTTCGTCGGTAGGCATGATCACCGATGTACAGCAATTGAACGCCTCTTTGTCGATCCACATGGCTCTCGAATGGATGAAATCACGATACAATAAGCAATCGTCATTAATCATGGACAACAGATGCATTGATACTTCTTTTTCTTCTGAGCATCAAAACGATAAGAACGAGTTATTTAAAGAGAAAGAGAGTATCTTTTTAGAAAAAGTTGCGGTGGCATTGGCGAATTATAAATGGCCCGGTCGGGCGCAGATTCTGAAAACCAGCACAGCAGACTTCTTCCTGGACGGTGCTCACACCGTCGAGAGTATTGTTCATTGTATATCTTGGTTTAAAAAAACGAGCCGTAATTCTTCCCGCAAGTACCTGATATTCAACACCACGGGCAATCGAGATTCGTTGAAGCTGTTAAAACTGTTGGTACCTTTGGACTTTGACAGAGCCTATTTTACGCCCAATTACGCCGGAGTAGCCCATGTCGAAAATCTGTTAAATTGTAGCAAATTGATAAATAATCAGGAAAAGAAATATAAAGAACACTGTGAGCAATGGGGCAAAGGCTCGGTACTGAAAAATAGCGTCGCTGAAGTGCTTGACGATATCAAGAGCTATGCATTGTCACAGACAGACGATAAAGTAGAAGTACTCGTTACAGGTTCCTTACATTTAGTTGGCGCATTATTGACTATCTTGGATCCCAACTTAACGATGACCAGTGACTTTTGAACATACGTAAGAATTCGTAACATACGAATTCTATAATAATTGCAAATTCAATTTTATAAAAATTTCTAGTGCTCTCTACAATGTTCGATATTATTTTTATTTTATTTATACTTTTTTTATGTATTGTTATGTATTATGTTAGCTTCTAATGGTTTTGTAAAAAAAAGATATTGTATAACTAACACATTATAACAAAAAAATCTTGCTATAAAATAGATTTTAAGGATATTGTATATATTTAAGAATATGTTATACTACTGTCCAAAAAGTAAGACCAGTTTTCAATTTAAATCGCACGGGTAAACCGCACATCAAATATTTTTTTTCTAAGTTGGCAGCATTGTGACAGACATCTGTGACAAATTTCATGTCAAAACATTCATTACTTTTTGCCTTACGCTTGGTTTTGTACGACGCTAAAAGTGCATTCAGCGATTTTTACAATGTCTAATTATATTGAGCAAAGAAGTTGCATTAAATTTTGTTTGCGGAATGAAATTTCGGGTGCAGAAACGTTCAGGATGTTGCAGAAAGCCTTCGGGGACTATGCTTTGTCGGAAAGGAATGTTTACAAGTGATATAAATAGTTTAAAGAAGGTCGTGAAAGTGTTGAAGACGAAGAGCGTTCCGGACGACCATCAACTTCTACCAATGAACAACACGTCAAGAAAATCGAAGAACTTATGCTTGCTAATGGTCGAATGACTGTTAGAGACCTTGCTGATGCTATTGGTATTTCGAAAGGATCTGCCAATACCATTTTGAAAGATATTTTGAGCCTGAAACGTGTAAAATCTCGACTAGTGCCAAATGCATCTTCTCACACTGCACTCGTTCCTCGTGACTTTTTCGCCAAAAATTCGATCCATATCGTTCCACAACCACCGTATTCGCCTGATTTAGCACCGTGTGACTTCTGGCTATTCCCGAAACTCAAAAGACCACTGCGGGGAAATCGTTTTGAGACGATAGAATAAATAAAATAAATAAATAAAAACTGGTCTTACTTTGTGGATACAGTAGTATTTTAAGGATATCGTATATATTTAAGGATATATTATATTTAAGGATATGACATGACAATCACAGTAACTATTTCTTTAGAAATTGTAGAATTATATATTTAATAATATATATCAATAGCAAAAAACAATATTTATCGTTTGTTACTCAAGAGTGACGTACATATCGCGTGGTTACGTAATTTCAGGATGACATTCTGGTAACTATGTTACAACAAGAAGTTTTGTACTTTAATGCACATCAATCGTGCGAATACGTGTGTGTGGTGTGTGTGTGTGTGTATTCAACGGCAAAGTTATGCATTATTCACAAGAACATATAGATTTGTGCTTAATGGCAGATATATCAGTCGCGAAAGAATATCGATAACTATTCAAAAGATCTTTGGATGGTATTCTAATTCCGACTCCGCTTCAGTGTCAGACAGACTAAGTGAGACGCCAGTTCTTCTTCTCAGGCGATTATCCTCAGGGCTCTAGAATAAGACAAAGCATAATATAAGCGAAAATATAAGTTAGCTCATAAATCAATCAGTGGAAGTTTACTTTGATATTTCATATAAAGTGAAAATTTATCACTAAATATTAAATATTAATATATAAGTAAATTTTGTATTCAATATTTAATCAGAACCCTATAGGATCTTTCATTATTATACAGGTATCAAAACTAGTAGAAGATAGTCCAGGTTCAACTTCTGGCCAGAGAAATACTTTCTATGATATTATCGTTTTGCAGTCGAAAAGTGGAAGATTCGTTTGTAGAAATTCCTTTTTTTACGACTCGATATTTTCCGTAAGTACAATAAACTTTACAAATAATTAATACAAAGAGAACATAATTCACCTGATCTAAGATACCGGCAGTGGGTTCAGATGCATATCCTACTTCCTGCGCATCTTCTTCCAGATCTGCCTCATATTCCTCCAACTCGTCTGAATCGGAATCTATGTCGAGATCGATGTATCGGCTGCCGCGCGAAACTTTACACACCATCTGTGCGAGATCGGTGAAAGTGTACGAGGAGACTGTCTGTTGATTCGCCGCTTGATTCTTCGCTCGCATAGCTCTCGCATTCTCTCGATCCGCGTTGAATCGAGGCAGAACTCCGGCTTTCGACTGACCCTCGAAATACGTTTTGCCTGGTGAACACAATTGAAATCAATTACATGGGTCTCTGTTCTTCAAGTCAACATGACAAGTAGATGTGGAGTCTCACCGTGTTGATATCCCACATCCTTGATTTCGTCGAAGTTGGCGAACTGGAGGGTCTTGTACTTATCGATCGGCGGCCTGATATACTCGCAGTAGTCTGAGCTTTTCACTTCTTCCAGCTGACGAACGCAGCTCACGTACGCCAGTCTGGATTGAATATCCGGCAAATTCGGTACCTTCACCGGCGTAGCGAACGGATTCCACCGTTTCCACAGCAGCCACCAACCAGACAATGAGTCCCCATAATTCGTCAGATCAGTGTCATCTTGTGAACCGACGTCGATGGCCAAAATGTGATGTGCTCCTTGCCGTAACATTTCGTCAGCTTGAACGGGAACAGGAGGAATGCATGAATCGAGAATGTCGGCTCGTAGAAACTATGTTCAAGCCTCAATACGCGTAAAGGGTATTCTAAAAAAAAAATGTAAAACTGTGACGCAGCTTGCGCGTATCACAATCGTACGTTACATTTACTTTTCTAGCGCTGATGTAGACGACAGTATCGGAAGCTACGTTTCGATGCTTTTATGATGAGCCAGAAACTTGATATATTATTGACTATGCTATCGCGATATAATACTGCGATATAAAGATATTTCAGACGGTAATGAGCCATAGTGAGAAATTACAATTAACATTAACGGATAAACAATAGGGAAAGCGAATACCTGGCACGTTATTAACATAACACCCGTCGACCAAAAGATGCCCGTCAATGGGGTCGCAAATGGGAGGAAAGACTCCCGCGATAGTCATACTGCCGCGAATGTATCTCCATAGTAAACCTGAGCCGACTTAGTTATTCAGAATTCGATAAATTCATCTTTCACCAAACGGGAGTGAGCTTGACACTTCTCGCGATTTCGTACAACAAAGTGGACCGATCAATGAGGCGTGCAACATGTTAGTGTAGCGCTAATGTTCGAGAACAATCCACGTCGTGCCAGTATAAATATGAAACGTGTACAGGGCCCAATTAAAACCAGGTATCCAGCGTAATTAAATAAAAAAAAACGAAGCACACTGGGTGTCACAAAACGAGAAGAGTCGCGTTCGATGTAACTTTTTATATATTGCCCAACTGAATTATATTAAACGAATTTTTGTAGCATATAAAATTGTGATAATTCTGTGTATTAGTTTTCGTATAATATTGTTAAAATATAAGTCTTCTCCAGTGACGACTTCTACATTTAGATCCATATTATATTGTCATTATATTGTCGCCAACGTTATCCTATCTTATTTCTCGTTAATCTTATATCGATCGCGTGAAAACAACACGATGTTCGTACGACAATGCGATCTGAATTACCTGGAAGGTTATTGACGTACCCGCCGTCGAGCAGAAGATGGCCGTCGACAGGGTCACACATGGGTGGCATATAACCAGACAAAGACATCGAGGCCCGAATGTACCGCCACAGCGATCCTAAACACGACGAACATTCCTTTTAATGTTCCACTTAATCCGAAATACTTCCTGTATCCTTAAGCTGTGCTAACCGTGGTTAACTAGATTTTCCCGCTCTGTCTATATTACCAGAACCAGAAACAGAGAGAGAGAAAGAGACGGACAATCGTTAACCAGAGTAAATTAACCGAAATCGTTAATGATTCCTCTGACACCGTTTAATTCAAAATAATTTTAACAAGAATGTATGTGAGTGAATTCTGAGGTGTCCAAAAACTGAACAAGCTTTCTAAGATTTTATCAATATATATATTTTGATTTAAATATATTTAAAAAATAAAATATCAGTGCACATTGTATGATGCAAAATGACATAAATTTTTAGATAATTTTCTCTTTAGCGGATTAAGTAATTTTGAATCTTCTCTACACCATGATTCAATGAGAAAAGCATACAGGAAGCCTATTTACACAATTTACAATTTATACATCCGTCTCGCGAGAATGATAAACAGTGATATGCCCCGTTTTTTTTTTGTTTTTTTTTGGTTTTTTTGTTTTTTTTTAAATTAAAAACAGCATTAAACGGAGAGTACGTCAACAATGATTATCCGGTAAGCTCACTCCCATTTGTTACAGCTTCTACAATTGGAAAGCTCTAATAGCGTCATAATCTATGATAGTGCATACATCTAAATTTAAGGAGAGAAAAGAAATTTCTACGTGTACCATGTGACGCAAACAATAAACATATAAAGCTACAATGGTAAAATATGAAAACACGATGTTCCGCGTATTAACATTTTAGAACACGTATCTGAAGAATTGATAAACCAAACAGTTTCGAATACTTCGTTCATTCATGTAGAAAAAAAGCTTAAAAAAAAGTCAAGTAGATAAAATATCTGCTGAAGAGCGTATGAGCGTTCGTAAAAATTGAAAGCTCGCCAAGTTATACTTGGAATGAAAGAAAAGAATACAAGTTTCAAAATCATACAGACCGTGTGTATGCGTGCGCATACAAGAATCCGTGATGTCTGTGGTTATAGTGAAATACGGGAGCCACAAGTCTTCTATGTACGTATCGCCGAAAGTCTGCTGTATCGTCTTGTTGAAATCTTTGCCGGAGAACATCGAGGTCATCGGGTAAGTTAAATCCAGAATCTGCCGCCACCATTGCGTCATTTTCTATCAGCGAAAACAAAGCGCACATGAATATACGATTATATTTTTGTATACGATTATATTTTTGTATACGATTATAGTTTTATATATGATTATAAAGTCTACTACATTCTATCCATTCGATTTCACCTTGGACCACTCCCTGGCCTTCTGCGTAGTAGTGGTGATATTCTTCTCCATGCACCACAGTGCGCCCATGAAGGCACCGATACTGACTCCACCGACCATGTCTATGGGTATTCCCGCTTCGACGATGGCCTTGAGCATGCCCACGTGGGCAGCGCCTCTGGCACCACCACCTCCCAAAACGAGACCAACTGACGTACCTGTCAGCCATCGCGCGAGTCTGCTGAAGTCGCTGTGTACATTCGGCTCGGACATGAGCACCTTGGAGTACAGCTCGTTCTGCAATGCGACAAAACGTCACGGGTTAAAGTATAAAGGTAATCGTCAACCCTCTCGAACGAGATGATATTTACAATTCTGTACTGCGATCTTCTGGTGAACATGCGTTTCGGACACTGAATGTGATGGTGGCTGGATACCCACGATCTCATGTTCAACCATTGAACCGTATTGGTGGGCCGTTGACCATTCTGCTCCTTGTGCAGCAGCACCAGCTCCTTCTGCGTTCTCATCACCAGCCGTTCCACCTCACGTTCTGTTCGCCCGATCGACGGTGGTCGGTCGCCCAGACCCACGATGAGAATACAGTCGGCTTGTCTTACACATCGCTGAGTCCACAGCGTGTAACTCGAGTCGCACTGGTACAGAGAGATCCGGTGTTGATCCTCTTGCTGTGCCAGCCAAGACGTCAGTCGGTACTCGTTCGCAGGCTCCATAATACTCATTCCTAAGGTCTATCGGTAAATATAACAATATAGTGGTTTGATTATTTTCTGTTATTGCAGAAAAAGTTGTGTATTTATATTAGTAAATAATATAATTAGATTTAATAATTAATTTAATAATTTTGATTAATTTAATAATTAATTTAATAATTTACATACCTTTCTCACGACCTCGGATGTTAGACGAAGACAAGGTCCAATAGCACATAAGGAATGATACAATTCATAAGTGAAGGCAGTCAACGGTACGTCATCCGACACAGGTACTATTGCAACAGTTGAGAAATTTACTTGCGCCGGCCTTGCATCCACTGTTGCCGCGGCTCGTCTACAAAATAAATCAAGACCATTATCTCCAATTAAAAAATCAACATATAGACTTGTGAACTTCGCAAAATAGTTTTAACGTATTAATTTGTATTAACAATTGGAATCTCTCAATTATTTATTATCAATAGTGTTGCGCGAAACTTACTGAGTATCATTGCTGTAGTTTTTCGGGTGCGCTTGTTGCCACGTGCCCAATATACGATGACCGAGAAGATTTATCAGTCTCGTAACGACGATTGGATATCTAAGTTTGATCACATTGAATAAACCTTCCGGTAATTTCGCCAGCTCCGAATCTCGCACCGCCATGACTGTCGTCGACCGCGAGGTTTGCGTGACCATCTCTACGATTCCTACCAAATCGCCCTTTCCGTATTCCGCCACTAGTTCCTTCTTGCCATCCTTGTAAGTGATCACCGAACGCAATCGTCCACTTAGCACAATAAACGTCGAGTCTGACTCGTCCCCTTGTCTATAAACAGCTCTACCGCTTTCAAGGAACAACCAATCAAGAGCAAAATCCACCTGTTCGAAAAGCGGCAATTTATATAACGGCGGAAATTCGCAAAAGCTTTCTCTGTTCTTACGAAAGTTTTATCTTCTTTCAGAACATCCTACCTGTCTTACGAACGGACTTAATCTACGAACGACGGTGTGCGCCACATGCAACACAACTGTGGGTTGATCCCGCATGATAGCGAAAAACGTAGGTTTGCTAATTAGTGCGATGCGACTGGGATGTTTCGCTCGGATGGTATAAAAGGATGGCTCGCCTGTTAACACCGCTAAGCCACCAACGATTTCACCCTGATGAGCGCTGAACATATGAACCTCCTGATAAGCGTCCCGACTCTCCGACACGCGTTGGCTTACTATCAGCGAGCCCGAGAGCACGTATAAGAGCGCAACGTCCTATAACACAACCAAATTTGGGTAATAATACGATATGATGTTTCCGGAAGACAATGCTTTATTGATTTATGAGCGAAAGAGAAGAGTGAAGACGAGACGACAAACCTTGTGCGACTCCTCCTTCATTAGATAGGTACCAGCTGGCACTTCTCTAATCTGTACTTTGTCCTTGAGCAGCGTCTCATCCTCTATGCCGAGTTCTTGAACGAACGCATCAGTAGCTATCTGCACGAGTTGCGACTCGTCCAGTTGTTGCTGCGGTTGCATTGCCTCGTTCGTCGAACGCTTCCTGCTGGGATTAACATTTCCCGAGTGAGTGGTCTCAGGATATGACCCCTGAACAGTCTGAGACGTCGTCGTAGGAGACGAATTGGGCCAGTGAGAGTCACATTCTGGCACCATATCCGCTGAATTCTGACTTAATTGCGAGCTAAAACTCTGACTCCTCCAATCGTTGTTGTTCTTCGTCCTATCACGAAATATGCAACGCCTGACTAAATAATTCCTCAATAATTTGTCGTATGTCAATTTAAGTATCTCTCACCGTCTATTCGCGTTAATAGGAACGGCTTGGGAACTGCCAGCATTCGATGGTACGTCACGATGAGAAACATCGCTAGGATCGTGAGTTTCCGATGCACTAAATGGAACAGCAAATCCACCCTCGGTGTTCTGCAAAGCGAAGTTCTCTCTGGTTCTTGAGCGTACTGGCGAACCAGAAAACGGGCTTTGCTTCTTCTTGTGTGTCCCCTGATTAACTAACTCCGCGGAGAGACCAAGATATTGATGTAAAGTAGTAAACGTAACTCTCTGCAAACGCACCATGATGACTTGAATAACTCGAACGAACGCGTCAGGATAATCTTGAAATACCTGTAATATAAAATTGAAAAGTGAGAAGAGAAAGAGAGGTTTTGGACGGTAAATTTTAAGATGTAAATGTATAACTTACTTCTTGGAACGCGCTCATTGGTAATTTTACTACAATTGAATCTTCTACAGCTCTCGCTGACACAGTTTTGTATGTACTTGTATGCCCAGTAAGTACATCAGTAAAGCTTAGAAGACTGGTAACTGACTCGCCTGTTTTTACTAATTTTAACGATATTTGCGAACCATCAGGTCCAGTAATATATACATTGACTAAACCCTGTTGCACTATAAACAAATTCTCGTCGGGGTCCCCGATTTTGAACAATGTACTACCAGCAGGTAAATTCATAATTTCTGTGTATTTACATAATTTTAGGAACACAGGCTTCTCGAAGTGTCCAAAGACTCTAATACTTTGTAACATATACAGTGCATCTGGTGGCACTCTCTCACCAGGTCCTAAATCTTCTTCTAGGTATTCAGCAGGTGGTTCTAATACCTTGAAATTAAATAATTTAGTTAAATAAATTAAATAAGGTTTATAATTTCAATGTATATAGACACACACACATACACACACAAAGTTTATATCAGTATTATCAGTATATATTATATAACATACTTTGAGCTGTTGCGGGGCAGTCTCCTTCTTAAGTTGTAATAACCGGCGAGCAAATCTCATGACTGCTCTCCTCTTCTTCCCTTGCCCAGTAGCGTGAACTTGACCACTGATAGACTTTACCTTGCGCAACATCTTTCTTCCATAAAAAAGAACTTTGTCTCTTTTTCTGAATCTGGGCTTTCCAGTGCCTACCCCAACAAATTCCTTTACTTCTGGCAAAAATTCTTTGTTTTTCCATTTTCGTATAACAAAAATTAATATAACTAAGAAAATGAGCAGCAGGGATGCGATAATTGTAACAAGGAGTGTGGTTGATGTCTGATAATCCTCTATAAATCTTCCAATCCATCTTGAGAATGTGTACGATCCCAGGCTCTCATTGACCTTATCAAACAATTCTATCACCTGTGTATAATGTTTTCTATTATTTCTAAGAAATGCTTAATACTCATTCTTTTTAAATGTATGTTTTGTGTATTGTATATGTTGTGGGTATGGCTTATTTATTTTATACATTTTAAATTAGCTATTTACTGCCATTATAAATGAAACAAAACTATCATTTCCTCTTTATTCTAAAGAAAAAATTGGTATTATAAACTATATGAATTCAAAGAGTCTACACAAACAGAACTACTGATATTTATTGATTTTATTGATACACTTATGTATCAATATTTTGATCCTTAAACTTTGCTTGCAGTTAATCATAATATAATATAAATATAATTTCTGAAATCAAAATTATATCTGTGGAAACTTAACAAAAAAGATGTCAAAGCAAAAGCAGTAAATACCTCCATAATGGGTATTCATGTCTCCCTCTTCACTGGAAAACACAATTCGAAGCGAAATGGCTCACTATTATTTACGAGAGAGCACGAGTATTAATTAAGCACTACGGGTTAAGAAATAAACTGCGAATAACTCCTAAATAACTCAAAACGACCTTTGATATGCAATAGGCGGTGCATGAAGTCTTTGCATTGGTGGGGGGTTCCGACAAATTGATTTCTATATGTATGTATGTACGTCATTAATCATATAATAGTCTCAAGCCTGTATCAAATTACGTGTTGAAGATTGTACGCTGCTTTAGATAAACATATTTTCGATGGAAGTATTACGTTAATTTGATAAATTCTCTTTTTCTTATTGAGAGATACACAGATTATAATCATAGGAATATTTATATATCGAATGAAAATTATCGAACAGGGAGTAATCGAATTTAAAAGTATCGAGAAGATAATCGATCTTTGGAGATAAAAGAGAATCATATATCGAACATCGATATATATCTCATCTCGAATTATATCAACCGCAGGTACGTTCCATTTGGCACATACATACGTCGTATAGCCAACAAAATCATTGTCCCTAACTATGATAAGGAAGAAGACGCTACGTGAACGTCATCCTGTTTTTGTCTAGCATGTATTGAGAATCAAAGATAAAATGACGCTCACGTCGATGCGATCGCCAAATAGAACCTAATCCACGATGATATTATACATATATCATAGACCAAATATTCCGCTCGCAGAGTGAAGTTGGCAGTTTAAAACAGAATGAGAGGTTTGAATTATCTCTGATGCTCTCTCACTTTATCGTACAGCAAATTTGTCTAAAAGAAAAACAAAGTAAGTATATAATTTAACTATTAGTTTATCATGAGATCGGAAAAATTGGTCTTTAAGGTAGTAATAAATTCAACAATGGGTCAGATATATTTTTACAGCCATTGATGTAGCTAGTAATACCAGAATAAAGGCCGGTATTCATAGTTGAATCTTATCTCAAGCCGTCTTAAGTAATGTCTTAAGATACAAATACCGCTCTGTGATTGGTTCATGACATCTTAAGACAGTACTTAAGATGATCTTAAATATAAGATCGGACTATGAATACCGGCCAAAAACACGGCTCCATCCGAAAACAAATGGAGAGAATATATATCAATAAGGGTGCGTTCGGAGAGCTCGCTATCAGCGTTACATGTCATTCTATATATATCTTGTATATCTAAGGAACGATAAAGGTAGAAGAACGCAGTAGCGTTGGTAACATGCTCTTCGAACGCACCTCAAGAGAACCGCGTATGTGTGATCTCGATTTTTTCGCAATTGAACGACTGATAGCTCACACGTATATGGTTCTCTTGTCGTGTGTGTACCCCCTCCATTTATTTTCGGATGGAGTCGTGTTTTCATTCTAGCATCACTTCGTAGCCCGCGAATGCTTTAACAAGTTAAGGCTGGTTAGCTTGTTTTGATTTCAGGAACGAAAGGAGGTTAGAATTCCTAGGATGGTGGGTGTTTTGAATGAGTCTGACAGCGAGGACGAATTACCACCGGGGTGGGAAGAACGGACGACATTGGATGGGAATGTTTATTACGTGAAGTAAATATATTGTCTTTCTGACCTCCTGTTTTCGTGTTAAGTTTATAACGTTTCTCTTGACCTTCACAAGCGATCAAAGATCACTTTGATTTGAAATTTATATTACGTATCACTACTCGGTCACGCACTACAATACCGTTTTGTAGTCATTATACCAAGGGCACTCAATGGACCCATCCTAGAACCGGCCGTAAGAAGATCGTCGATGGAGGTATTTGATATTCATATTTACTTACGTTCTTTTATTCGGCAATAATTCACGTTAATTCTTTACGTGTATTCTCTCACGGATAGTAGTCTATTTGTTAACATAAGGCTGTTTCAACTTTTATAAAATAGTATGTATGTGAAGGTAAATTATTCTAATTGAGATAATAACCTTATATATAATTATTGAACACTAAATGCGTAAAGAAAATTGTCATAATTACTAGAAACAAAAATTACATTTTATAAACAATTTGTAGTTTATATAACTTTTACAAAAATATAAGATCTTATCCAAATTGATTATTGTATTGTTATATCAAAAAAAGCTGACTATATCTCAAGACTATTTAGGAGCATAACAAATTAACAATTAATTATACAAAATTTATTTATATAAATTTAAAATTAAATTTTTTCAGATTTACCAACTGGATGGGAGAGATGTGTATCAGATGATGGTAAAGTTTTATTTGTCGACCATAAAAACCGTACAACAACCTATACTGATCCAAGATTAGCATTTGCTACTGAATATAGAGATATGTCTCAGCCAGTACGACAGAGGTTTGACGGCAGTAGCACAGCTCTGGCAGTATTATATGGCCGAGATTTACGTGATAAGATTGCTCTTGTCACAGGAGCCAACACAGGCATTGGTAAATGACCTTCACTATTATAATACAACAATTATCTTTACAGTTTAACTAATTAGTGAGGAAATTTTTGACACAGGATATGAGGTAGCTAGATCTTTAGCTCTGCATGGCTGCAATGTGATATTAGCCTGTAGAGATACAGAGAAAGCTAACGAAGCAATAAGACGCATAAAATGTGAGAAGGAGAATATAAATTGCAGAGTACTAAAATTAGACTTATCATCATTGCACAGTGTGCAAGAAGCTGCAGAGGAGTTTAGGAAGTCGTTCAAGTAATTTCATTATTATATGTTATATAAATTCTGTGAGATTATACAGGCTTTTAAGGATGTTATATAATTAACCTTCCTTTATTGTATAATGAAATAATACTTGTCTTTCAGGATAACAATGAAAATCGTATAATAAGATAATATTTATCTCTTTCAGAAGTCTTGATATTCTTATACTAAACGCTGGTGTGTTCGGGATACCATATCAACTCACAAATGATGGTTACGAGACAACGTTCCAAGTCAATCATTTGTCGCAGTTTTTTCTCACACTCTTGTTAGAACATTCCATACAAAAAGCTAGTAATCCTAGAATTGTAATAGTTTCAAGCGAATCGCACAGGTAATAAATTGCATGTTTTCGTCGTGTCAATTGAATGTAAAACCAAATTATACTCTGATCATTTTGTAATCAGACATACTTTGTAATGCAGATTTTCAACGATACGAAACCCAGAAGACCTTCAGCAGTCGAGACTGTCTCCGCCACCGCACAAGTACTGGGCAATGGGTGCATATAACGATTCGAAGCTCTGTAATGTTATGTTCGCGCAAGAACTAGCGCATCGCTGGCCCAATGTAGGTGTGTTCTCCTGTCATCCCGGTAACCTGGTGTCTTCGTCTCTATCGCGTTACTGGTGGCTGTATCGAGTGCTGTTCTTATTGGGACGACCATTCACAAAATCGTTGGTATGGAAAATGCTTTTTGACTGTTCTTGACTTTACTTGCTAATATAAAATATATATAAGTAATATTAATGAGAAATCGCATAAAATACATTGCAGCAACAAGCAGCGAGCACGTCGGTATTCTGCGCTACGGCGCCCGAGCTGGACGGTGTAACGGGTGGCTACTTCAACAATTGTTACCGTTGCTCCCCGTCAAGTGCGTCACTGACTCGCGCACTAAGTACGCGATTGTGGGATCTCAGTCAGGAAATGATAATCGATGTTACAGATATGACCTGGAATCAGGATTGTATGAAGGGAGATAGATCGTTGGATATTAGTCTCTATTGTTGATAATAATTTTTGCTTTTAAGGCTCTTAGTTCACGAATCACATTGATTTATAAAATTTAGAAAGGAGAATTCCTACAAATCTTATCCTTGTGTTATATGTCAAATTTAATTAGTCAATTGAAGCAATATAATTTTAATCAGCAGCATAGATTAATCAATTTTGTGAGGCATTCTTTTTTTTGTTAGTCTTAATTCATCTTATTTCTTTTATCTTCAATATGTTATTATTCGATATGATTAATTTATATGCCCAGGCTGACTGATTAGTCAGCTGAGTTAGCCGAGAATTCCGCGTTGACAATGGCGACATGATTGTAAACAGCAAAATGATAAACCATTAGGTTCACAAAATGCAGACTATTGCAATAAGTTAGAGTGAAAGAAAGTATACTTGTTTCTTTCTAACTTCGCGCTAATGCAAAATTCATCGAAAACGAACAATCTAATGTAAATGGATAACCAATTTTTTTTCTGTAAGCTACAGCATTATTACTATAATGTGTGCATGTCACATGTGATACAATTGTGCTCCGGATATTGCATTTATTGTGATATATAATGCATATAAATAGTTATTCGGTCATATTCGGTACCAAGTCATACAACCGATTTTTTTTGTCAAAACAAGGCGATTTGTCACATTTTACGTAATTTTATGTAATAAGACGGTAAAAGAGGAGTATCCGGAGCATTTCACAAGTGTGTAGTGTGTCTACAACTTTAATCTGCTCTCATTCTCTATGCTTCATTCGATATCGTCGACCAAGTTCTCCACCGAAATGAATGAAATTTTGGATCAACTTGATATTTAATCGTGTATTTTTTATAACGTGTTCATTAATCGTCAGAAATAAAAAGATTTAAACACTGTGATATAAGCATCATTTATTAGGTCTAATCTAATTACATGCATTATGTTTAACTGTACAAAATGTTTTAACTCGCATAAAATTCTTTCAGATATTCAGCTTTAGGTTTCAATATAGCTTTATCTCTAAGGCTAACTACCCATCCTGGTTCCAAACCATAAAACAATTGCCGCGGATCTTTGCGTTCGCACAACATCTCGTAATCGGGATCGTCCTCGATTTTTGTTAATTCATAGCCGTATTTTTGCGCAAGCACCAGACGTTCTTGAGAGACTTTCTCAGGATCCGCTAAGTATCCTCTTGTAGCAGGACTGGAATAATATTCAAGACAGTCTGTCGGTGGCAAAAATCTACGAGGTATTGGCTCACCTATACAAATCACAAGGATAATTATATACAGAAGAATTTATGTTTATCGAGAATAAGATCATTTTGCACAACTGTTTTTACAAAAATGTTTTTTGGTCTGTAAATTACCTTTGCTGAAAAACTTCTCTGTATTCTTTATGGCATGAAGGCAATGCATATCATAATAAGCAGTTGTAATCACACCACCATTTCTCTCAATTGCTGCGATTACAGGCTCACTAGCCCACTGTACCTCTATATTTACTTTTGCTTTGAAATTATGTACACCCTTCAAATAGAGTTTTCATATTATTAAACATTAGGTTTCTTCATTCATACATTAAATAAAAAATTACAAAGCATTACCTCATCTGTTAAGTGAATGCCTGAGTGTTTCCAATTTATATTAAGATCATACAGGCCAGTGTTTATCACAGAAACAAGATCAATTGGTTTAGTAGGATCCAGCCGATTTGTATCAATGTATAATTGCAGATTTCCCAAAGAAAGTGGTGGATATTCTCGCCTCAAGCTAAAACCATAAAACATTAGTCATTCAATAATTGACTCTTATAAAATATCTGAATCAATAAAACTTACTGATGGCCCTTGTAGTAAGGTTCTTTGCCAAATCTTAAATAGAAAGGGGCATTTCCAGTCTCGTAACCCAAACGTATGAAAGTCATCCTCTTGTTTCCACAACCATGTTTATTACCACCATGTTGTCCTCTGCCACGTTTCTACATAAAAATGACAAACGGGAAGACTGTGAAATTTTAATTTCATTTTAGAAAATAAGTATTATTTTGATACTGCTTTATTGAATGTGCACATACATATAAGATTATGAAACGTTAATCCTGTGTCATGAAATGATATCAAATATATGATTAACTTATATAAATTTTTAGAGTCTGACAAATTATAAAATATCTTATTTTCTAAATTCGTAAGATCTTACTCTCTCCTTTCGGCCGGGATTATCTCTGATGTTCATTAACGTCACCCTAGGTAAGACTCGTAGCATTGACAATGCTAAATCCTTCCCTTGTTTTCCAGCCATGCCGCAACGTGTGTAGTCAATTATTAAATCTTCAACAATCAACTTGTATTCACTTTAAATAAATACTAAACTTCTTGCAACGTAACCTAACCTAAAATATTTGGTCTGCTTTTTTACAACTCTCTCGCTCTCTCTCTTTCTCTCTCTTTCTCTCTCTGGTTGCAGGCCTATTTCGGCGGCTCTTTCATTAATTACAAGATAATATGAGGGGAATCCTCGGAAGAAACGCCGAGGCACGTTCCAAAAAAATCACGGTCCGAACGTGTTCAAACACATCTCAACGTCACGACGATTGAGCTTCTCTCTCTCTTTTTGATGCAGGCCTGTACTCAGGGTACGGTCCAGTAAGCACTACAAATGCTTTGTAACGTTTTTACTTCTTTCTCTTTTTTCACCGGAATCCGAGAAATAGAACAAGAAAATATGGCCGGTATTCATAGTTCGATCTTATATTTAAGATTATCTTAAGTACTGTCTTAAGATGTCATGAATCAATCACAGAGTCGTATTCGCATCTTAAGGCACTACTTAAGACGGTTTTGAAATAAAATTCGACTATGAATACTGGTCTATGGCCATATTCTGAATCCTCTTTTATCGATAAAAGTAACTCTTATCGATAAAAAAAAGCCTCTTTTAGAGGCACTTTTATAGATAAAAGAGGATTCAGAATATGGGCCATAGAATTTACAGTTCATGTCTCGCTACCGAAGAAGGTGTTCTCTTTGGAAAGAAGTGTCTCACCTACCATTGATATATACTATTTGACTATTGGTCTGTTCCTTTCGGCTGCACTGAACTGATGCAATAAATTAGAATAAGACAAATATATTTTTTCTCACTCTAACCTATTGCACCAGTTCAGCGTGCAGTCGAAAAGAACAGACCATATATTTCTGAAGATTCTCGAAAGTTCCGGGACGTTTGCGCTGATATTTAAACGGTCTTAGCATTGAGATATCTATAGTATCATGAAGATTCTTTTAAAAAGCCGGCAACTATATCTTTACTCAATGCGTTATTTAAATCTACAATATAATAACCGAAACAAGATCTCGGTAAAACGAACAGTCAGCGAAATTTGTAATGTAGTTGCCGTCCGTCAACCAACGCTGGCAGAAGTCACAAAGCTACTATAATTTGATTTTATGTAATTTGTCATGGCAAATATTCAAGACGAAGGGTCGACTGATCAAGGGATGACGCAAGAGGACGCAAATGAAACGGATCATCCTTGGAGTACCCTGGAAACAATCACTACATTTGACCGGGGTATATTGCAATATGATACGAATATTTTAACGCGGGTTATCCTGCGTTTTTTGAATTATCCGTAAAGTTAATAATAATTTTTTTTAACAAAAGAACCACTTTTACTCATTTGAATTACTTGTATTATTTATTATTACATTGTATTAAAAGGTGCATTATTTCGAGATCTATATGATATAGAAAACAGGAATAAATGTTACTGATAGAAAAATTTCAAATGATTTGTTTACATATGACAATGCGAAATATTTTAATGATAATTTTTTTATTACTTTTGTTCTGTCTTGTATTTATAATCAGAAGTTTAAGTAGATTTAAAATTTCTACAGATTTAATATATAAATTCAGAGAATTTAAAATTTGAGTTACACCCAATTGTTTTATGCAAATAGGTAACGATGTAACGCCAACACTCTGTCTAGATAATATTAGGGAAAGTCAAGACAATAAACAAGTCGTACAAGTAACACCTCCCAATAGCATGCTAATTATATCACTCATACAACAATTATGTACCATGATCGAAGAAGATACTGTACGCAGAAATCAATTGTATTATGGTAATTTATATTTAACTTGTTTTAAAATATATATGTTTTTATATACATCATACATATATATTATACACAGAGAAAGAATTCTATTAACAGAGATTGTTATCTGTTCTGCAGCTCTCTGTGATAAAATGCATGAATTACAATTAATTGATCATTCTTACAATATGATGGAGTTGGAGTCACTGAGGGGACAATATCAACGTGCTCTTCATCATTTATTCATGATTGCACGTGCCTCAACTGGGAACGAAAATATTTTACGTACACCTAGGTATCATAACACCTTATCTAATCTCTCTAAAGTGGTTCTATCTCTAAAGAGATCTTACTAATAATAAAACCCTCCTTTAAATACTTCTTTAAATTTTTCCAGATATTACAATCAAGTCTATATTAATATTTACTTTTGTATGCAGCTATCTAACATCGGAATTTTCTCGTTATCTTCGGGAATTTCAAGAAATTGAATTTATTGCCAGTGGAGGATTTGGTCAAGTCTTTAAAGCCCTACATCGTCTTGATGGTATCGAATATGCAATCAAGAAGATCGTTGTACTTTCAAGTCGTTTGAAAACTATAACGCACTATCTAGAGGAAGTAAAAACTTTGGCTAAGTTGGATCATCCAAATATTGTTCGATACAAAGTAGCTTGGATTGAGCCGTCGTTGCCATCATCCTTTGTTTCAAGTATGCCATCAACAGAACAAAGATCATATATATCGGAATACATGAAAGATTCAAAATCGGAAAAGTTGCAGTCTGACGAAACTTCATCTAATAATAATACAAGTAAATCAAATTTTAATAAAGCAAAAGACAGTAGCAGGCAAGATATACTTTTTGATGATGAAGCAAGCTACACATCTACTAAACTGAGCAGCGAACAGAAAAATAAAGTGAGTGATAGTGCTAGTAGACACGATACTATTATTGGTAGATTCCATGAACTCAATTCGTTGACTAATATGGGAAAACGGATAACAGAGAAAAGTATTACGCAAGAATGTGCGGACGAGAATTCGTACATAGTATCTTTCAGAAATAGCAAAAATAGTGAAACTGAAGGTCAAGCAAAGTATTCTAATGCTACATATTCTAGTGATTCACATGAAGAATCCTCTAACCATCGAGAAGTGTGCACGTACTTTTCCACCTCTAACGGAGTGAGAATAAGCAATGTACATTTAAAAAAAAATTATATCTTAGTATATATTATAACATATTATTGCAAGATATATTGTATATTAATATATCTTAATATTTATCTCACTTTGTGTATATAGAATCAACAGTACATGACATTGTACATTCAAATGGCTCTATATGAACAAACACTCAAACAATGGATGGACGAGAGAACCAATGTAACACCTCTCCCAGTAGTTAGGACAGTGCTCAAACAAATTGTTTGTGGTCTCGACTATATTCACTCACAAGGAATCATACATCACGATATAAAGGTAGATGCATCTCTCTTTACTTTATATATCATGTTCTTAAATCTAATAGGACACGTTCCATTGTTGCAGCCAAGCAACATATTCATTATGACAACAGGATCACTTCAGATTCATTTAGGTGACTTTGGCTTAGCTTGTTCATTACACAAAAAAAATCATGATTCAGTGATTGGCACTCAAATGTATGCGGCACCGGAACAACTGCAGGGAAAATGTGACACGAAAGTAAGTGATGGAAAGCAGAAAACACCTGATTTATGGTATTTTTATTAGTATATTAATATTTAGATATATTTTGACATTCTTTATATTTTCAGAGTGACATATACAGTACAGGAATCATTCTTACGGAGCTGTTGATTCTAACGCAAACGCAAATGGAATTAATTTCTATAATCAATTCCTTAAAGCAAGGCGACATACCTGAAGATCTCAGCACTGAACGACATAAATGGGTAAGTATACGCATGTGTGTGTGTGTGTCTCCTTGTAAGTATACATATATAGCCGTCACATTTGAAGGAATCTTTTGTCTTCTATTTAGGCACAACTGATTATGCAATTGATAAAAGAGGATCCCGTCAAACGACCGTCTGCGAAACAGCTTCTTCAAGATTTACACGAAGAAAAGGATATCACGATAACTGATTTGAAAAATAATCTTCTTGACAAAGATAACACAATTCAAGAATTACAGAAAGAAATGGCATTACTGAAAGAAAAAGTTAGAAAACTGGAAATATCGTCAAAAAGTACAGTACAATAGACTTATGTTAAAATAGTTAGTAAACATTTTATCATATGACATTGATAAGACTGTAACATAAAATTTCGTCCTTCGAGTAATCTCTATACGATAAGACATACTATCGATATCATAAATTCCTATGTATATATATAACAATTTTAATTGTATATAATATAGAATACAATCAAACTGTGTGATCAGATTGTATGTGAAATCAGACTAAAATAATATAGTAATGAAATATTAAGATTATATCGAGTATAAAAGGGCCACATCATAATATCTCCAATAATTTGTATTATTATTTTTTACTAATTTTTATTTTTATCATTTTACTATTATATTCTTAATATAAATGTTACATATATATAATATTACAAATGCAAATGTTTTTTATTATATTTATTAAAATATATACAATAATCTATATTATATTTTTAACTCACTAACGTTATTTAATATATTCTATGAGTACATAATAGTTGTCATTAGTTTATCGCTAACTGAAAAATATTAATAAAAATCAAAATAACAAAACAGAAAGAATACTGCAGGTGTTCTTTTTATAATCTTCCCCATATATATTCAATTTTGATTCAAATTCTTTTTAATCAATTTAACTTTAGATTCACGCGATGAGATCATTTTTTCAATAATGTGTCCAAAGATGCCTTGAGTTGCTGGCCGAAAATTATTCTAGAATCGTTCGAGGTAGGAAGAGCACACTGTTGCAACAGATATTCGATATTTGCAGATTGCCATTGAATGTCGACAGGTATGTCGTGAAGAAACCCAGGAAATGAGTTTTCATTTCCTAAACCTAATAGGAGCTGCAATTTTATATTTTTATCTTAAGATATACTTAATATACAATGACACAATGTAAGATGTGTGTATTATTTTATATATATATATATATAGTACAATAAAATCATATACTACCTGACAAATCACATAATAATTGTGATCACTCAGATAATGATTACAAATCTCCTTAGGAGAAAATGCAGAGCAATTAGGACAATCAAGATGCATTCTGTTTTCCTGCAATGCATGCCATTCCTCTGATTTTTCTGCAAATGAATATCATCATACAAATATGTGATTGTATATTTACTTTATAATTTTAATTATAAGTGATTGCATAAAAAGCTTTTTACTTTTTGGAGAGATATTTTTGTCAACAATAATGATATGTTCTAAATCAATAAATTTGGCTTCATCATTGTGATCAACTGCAATATTATCAGCTGTTACATCTGTTAAATAAAAGCTGAAATTTTCGTTCTTAAAAGTAAACATATAAGCAGCATTTAAAAGACTTGAGGCTATTCTTGCTCTTTGTATCCAAGGTTTATCAAAATAATCTGCAAGAGTTAATCCAACATGTTCCGCTATAATAATTCGACCACATGCTCCAAAATATTTTGGCACTGGCCAACCATTTTCAGCAGGTAATATCTAGAAAAAATAATAATATAGAAAATAATAATAATTTAGAATGTATATAACTGTGCCATTTTTTCTTCAGAGTATATATTTGTAAAAATTAATTAGAATCTTAGATGATTAGCTGACTTCTTGCATTGAAAATAGATAATAGAACAGGATCAGATAGTTTTTATATCTATTTATGATTTACCTGCAGGATTAGTGGTTCTGGATTTATAGAAACCAATGTCCAAAGATTAATTAAATATTCTATGGGATTAGTATGCTTATAGTTGAGATATATATTGTGAAATAAATCATCTATATGTCGCGTTGTTGGACAAAGTCTCAAGCGACTAGAATCATCTTCAGAGAAATCAGAGGTAATTATCTTTTTGATAAGATCGTTAAAATCTGCTATATGTCTGTTTAATTTCTTCTTGGAGACATTTGAGCAAGGATATTCCAAGTAGAATTTCTTACAATACACAATGTCAAATGCTTCCAATTCCGAAGGTGGCGCTAATTTTTTCAATACTACCTTGTTCTGATTGTATGCACCAAAAAACACACTTTCAGTTCCATACAAATAAAATAATATTGTACTAATACGCCATGAAATATTTATTTTGTGAACATTGTGGCACACAGAAGCTCCATAACAAGCTGGGCATTTATGTATTTCCGCTAATTGTGTTACAGAAGGATATAGATATTGTGTAACTACATTTTTCATTAAGAGAAGAGTGCAAGAAATTCCAATAAACAATAATAATTTCCATTTCTTAAATTTAAAGATATTATACGCGTAGTGTAGAATCATGAACCGGTATCGTTAGCAAACTATGATGAAATTTCCTCTTTTTTTGACTGACAGGAACGCAGCGACCGTTTCTGAAATGTCATTCACTCAAAAATAAGAAAATTTAATATATTATTATTTAAAGGATGTTTATCTTCTTTTTTATTCATGCTATTTATATTCATTACACACTCTTAAAATCCAAGAAAATGATTGATTCTTGAATATTCTCGGGTTCTCTAAAATATATGATAAAATTACTCCATCTTAGTTCAGATTCAGAGATAAAGATAGAAGATATCGTAAGAGAAGAATCGATATCCAAACAATCGAAAATCGATTTTAGATGAACTTATTTCAGAGGGCGCTACAAGTACAGCTGTTTTCAAATATATGGGAGCGCAATCCATTAAACGCTACAAATTTATAGCGCAGGATAGACCAATCATAGCTTCTTTTTAAGCTCTTCAAGTATTTGTAGCGTCTAATGGATTGCACCTCGAGTTTGAGGGTGCGATCCATTAAACGCTGTAGATACTTTGAAGCGTCGTAAAACTAATCATCGTTCCTCTTTAAGTGCTCCAAAGCGTTTGTGGCGTCTAATGGATCGCGTCCTGAATGTGGGACAATGGCCTGGTTTACATCGTGCACTTGATACGCGTACTAAATAGTAACTTTCTATTAGATAATCTTAATATCGACAATGCATATCAACAGTGACGCATTCTATCAATACAATACGTTTTGTTGATGAGTATTATACCAGCTTAATATACCGTTGTTTATATATATTATCGATATTAAGATTATCTAATAGAAAGTTACTATTTAATACGCGTATCAAGTGCACGACGTAAACCAAGCCATTATTGGTCCTTACTGTTAGATCTCTAACTTTAGACAAATTATATTGTGTGCATTCAGTAGACACAACGGTTATACAACGGTTGCGTAATTAGTTAACGTAATTGGTCTAAAGTTAGAGATCTAACAGTAAGGACCAATAATCACTGACCGCTCACTAATCAGTTATGTTTTCTGAACGCAGCCATTGACGAATTAGGGCTATCGCACACAAATTTACATAACTGCATATGCATAGCATAAGACCGTATGTACCAATGAGCATCGAGTATCAAGTCGCCATATTGGTGTTCGATGCTTAATATTCGATGCTCATTGGTCCATACGATCTTATGCTATGTATATGCAGTTATGTCAATTTGTGTGCGATAGCCCTTATGGCTTTCGCAGCCAGTGCGATGCGCGACGCGACACATGATATGCGACAGCGATATCCAATGAGCGTATTGGTATTCCGAAAAAGCTGTACGCTCATTGGATATCGCGCATCGCATATCGCGTGCGCGTCGCAAATCGCGCTGGCTGTGAGAGCCATTACTCACTTGTTGTGCAACCGTTGAGGTGTTGAGTTTGCTAAACGCACCCATCGTGTGATATTTCTGAGGGCGGTCTAAATAAATAATCCAAAAATGTGTATAAAGATAGCTCTCCACAAGATACTGTATACATTGACATCCAGCGATGACGGTAATTTTTTCAATAAAAAGAGTCGAGTTTTTTAATTCATTGATAGATCCATCGCATGCAATGTTTCGTTGTATTTACGCATCATGCGATAGATCCATCGATGAATTAAAAAACTCGCCTAAGATTCTATTAATCATAAATTAAATAAGTTTAAAGTATTTTAGGTCTCGATAAAATATATTCTTTTAGGTTAGGAAACTACTTTAGCAAGAAGAAAGATTTCTATCCAAAATCATATTTATATTTCACATTTTTAATAGAAAAATGTTTACAGATCGTCTCGAGGGTTTCGATGATAAGCTGGCACGAAAACTATGTGTGATAGCATCGTTAATCACAGATGAGATGAATATAAAGATAGAAGGAGAATCTATCCGGTAATGTATTGTTAAATTGGTAATTATAAAGTTTAGCACCACCACCTCAGATTTTGACGAAACTAGGCTCAATCAACGCGTTTTTTTTTTAAAAAGAAACAACTTTCCTCTAACAAAATCGTCGCTCTCTACTACGAAGCGAGATATTAATAGACAAATCTGAGCGCGTGTTAGGTTAGAAAATCTATCATACCGTCTATCTCTAGCTATGAGACTGAAGGGCTTTGCCCCGCACCGCGGCGGGATGGGAGTCGCAGTCTCATGTGCTTAAGCTAAAGAATGAATTTCTCACAAAAGACTATGGCTTCCACTCCGCCGTGGTGCGGGAGGTCTAGGGGGCAAAGCCCCCCAGTCACAGCTAGAAAAATTAAAGAAACTTTAAACCCATGCAAAAGAAATAATACACTCAATAGAAACAAATTTTTTTTTGATAATTATACAGGATAACGGACCACTCTCCGATTGACGGACCTTGACATTTGTTGTAGAGGTCATCCTCCTGAATAACTCTCAGGTTTTAGCCGTCGCTCATTATTTGTTAAAAAGTTATTGATGAAAGAAGTTCGAAAAATATATTACAATTTTTCGACACTGTGTATCGTTAACGAGTAATATTGAATAATAACTGCAATATCGAACAACTAGCGGGGGGGTGCGGGAGGCGCAGCCCCCCGCTAGTCGTTCGAGATTGCAGTACTTACTAACGAAAGATTCGTATCATTTTCGGAGTGACAGATTTCCTAACCTAGTGAGCTCTTAACTTTAACGCTAAATATCTCGTTTCGCGGAAGAGAGCGACGATTTTGTTAGAGGAAAAAGTTGTTTCTTTTTAAAAAAACGTCGATTGAGCCTAGTTTCGTCAAAATCGGAGGTAGTGCTAAACTTCATAATTACTGTTAAATTATTGTCTAGGATAATATAGAATTGAGAATAGGATATATTACAAGTTAATAGTCTGTATAGTTTTATAATATGTTGGTTCTTACCTATAGGTGGATATATTTACAAACATTGGTTTCTGTATTGAATAATATTATAAAAGCAAATATAACAAGTGATGATACAACATTCAGTGTACAACAGATCCGATCTCTGAAAGATGCAATAGGACTAATAGTTTCAATAGGGATTATACCTTGTCTAGAAAAAGGTGTAGGTATAGATATGGCAAAATTATGTCCTAAAGCTACAAAAATTCCACAAGAAAATCTAAGTTGTGTACAGGTGAGATTTTTTCTACTGAACAACAAACTCTATATTATGTAACTTATGGGTATATTATCTCTTTTTACATAAATTTTATCTTTCAGAGATACGAACGAATAAGATTTACAACCATTGCTCTCACAGATCTGTTTCACAATGAGAACTTACGACCAGCTATACTTTTATATCTCGGTACCATACTAGCATCTTTATTACAATTATCATTTGCCCCATTAATTAAGCCCAATGAGGAGGTTGAGCAAACATCAAATACCAAAAACTGTGATCAAGCACAATTTCGTATGACAGTGAAACGATATCAAGACTTATTGGGTCATCAAAAAGAATTTTATGTTAGATTAATTTTCTTGTTAAGTAGTTGTCCACAATATAAATGTATTCAAGAATTAATGATAATTCTTGGACAGCAAAAAACACCAAAATGGTTGCGCATATGTACACGAAATATTTTAGTTAGCAAAGTTACACAACCAGGTGGAGTATCGTCGTTAATCAACGCAATCTGTGGCGACGAATTGGATATAGGTGTGAACTGGCGTATGCTGGACGTGGTCCCCAAATTGTTAGCAATATCTCATGGAAAGAGCGAGGACGAGTATTACAGACTCGTGTGTCCACAGGTATGTGTATATGTATATACTGTATACTAAAATTAAAATATAAAATATATTGTGTAAAATATATTAAAATATATAGTATATTGCATGAAATTTACATTACATATTCCTATGAAAAATAAAATAAAACAGATCACATTGAGATTCGTGTCTTCTCGCTGCTGTCATTTTGATTTATTTTTAGAAGAATTTTTAGCATGTATCTTCCCATTCTGATGTCATCAACCAAGAGGTCTCCATTCCCAATTTCTTATTGAATATTTGTTTTTAGATTTTAGATCTACTCTCCTCGGATAAAATCAACCATGGTTCGACGATAGCGAACTGTTGTATCGCTACTCTACACGATAGCAAACCGCTCATTTGTCAAAAGTACATAATAGAACCCATGTGCGCACCTTTATTAACGACAGAGCCGTTCACCACAAGATCCGAAAAGGAAATAGAGCGGTGTGTAATAATGCTGGCAAAATGTTTTCTAGCTGAGGATGCAAAGTTCAAGCACCCACCTAGTAAACTCATTTTGCACGTCGCTACACCTTTATTTTGCCTATATAACAAAGCTCGTAAAAGCGCATGTATATTGAAGAAACATTTACAGCAGCTGTTATTGAAAATCCTTGAGAATGAGGCAAATCGACAAGAACTCTATTCTGCTTTTCTGGGGCACAACACGTCGGCAGGATTCGGAGATTACGTACTGCTGGAATTCGGGCCGACTGGTGGTATTGAGATCACTGGCTTGTGTGAAGATTTGAGATACACGGAACTAGCTGATACTGTTCACGATCTAGTATGCATCGCCAAGAACTTGTCGCCCAGTATATTCACTTACATATTAAATTTTTTGTCGAATACAAATCGGCAACGAGAAATGCTAGAAACAGAAGACGATCGAATAGAGCACATGGAGATGCAAATAGCAGCTTGTGTACTTCTCCAACCGTTAACCGATATGAATACCGTTCGCGAAGCACAAGCGAAAGAACCACAGTGGCTATTATCCTTTATAAAGTCCTTATTCACCAAATATACCGAAAAGCAACAAGGTGAAATGGAAGAGAGCGAGTGCGAGCTACTGTATCTCAGTTTGATGCTGATAAAAACTTTGGTTGACGAAAAAGCTAAGCTGGAGATTGATCTTTTCAAGGATTTCAGTGTGTTTTTGAAAAAGCACGTTAACTCAAGAATACCTATGCAGCTTAAATCGTTGATAAATGACGTGGTGAGATGTATCGAGACTTACGGCACATCTGAGAAGAAACGCTATCAAAATTTGTTGATAATAAATTCGACCTCGTCAGACAAATTCGACAAAGCTATAAAGGATCTCGCGGATCCATTAATTCCTGTCCAGGCGAACGGTCTCGTAACGCTCAGGAAATTGATCGAGAGTAAGGATCCCTTCACTGTTCAAAACAAAGGGATTATTCTTGGTCTGTTGCAGGTTCGTGTACTGATATAATTAGAAGATTTTCGGTTTAATTTGATTTAGAACTCTTGCGAATATTTAAGTAGATTGAAAATAACGTACATCGAATCGTCTACTTGCTTCTTTTGCGATTTATCTCACTTATTTGTTTGCAGACCAACATACAACATGAAGATTCATACATATATCTGGCATCTATCAATGGATTGTGTGCATTAGCAACTGCATTTCCGCACGAAATTATAGGGACATTAGTGCCAGAATATATAAACATGCCTAATCGTATAATAGGAACAGAAATAACCACTGAAACCAGAATCAAACTTGGTGAAATATTAATCAAAACAACGAGAGCCTTAGGTACATAGAAATCATTTTCTTATTGCTTACTCATAGAGATAATATCTTATAGATCATCTTTTTAGATAATAGAAGTTATTTTTACAAAAGTATTGATACCGTAGTACCAAAATAGGAATTACTGACGGCTAGAAAATAGCAATCAAACTAGAAACGCAGTAATCGAAATGATACATTTTGCAGGTGAAATGGGTGTGATGCATAAGAATATGTTAGTCAATGGCTTTTTGTGTGCCGTTCGCGACAAGGAACCTTTGATACGAGCTTCTGCTCTTTCTTGCTTAGGGGAACTTTGCAAAGTACTGAGCTTTCGACTGACAAACGTTCTTACCGAGGTACGTTTACAAATCTCACAGTCACAGGAAACAGCAGTCGAGAAAAAGACTTTCTAAAAATCCAATCTTTCGTTGATGTTTTCAGATTATTTACTGTATCGCGATGGTAGTGAAGTATGACAAAGCGCCTGAATGCCGACGCGCTGCCGTTCTAGTTGCTACGCTTCTATTTCGTGGCCTTGGCAAGGATACGTTGACTAGTCTCGGTGATGACTTGGTTACCTTATATCGCGCGCTGAAACACCTGCGCGATGAGGACATCGACCCGATATTGCAGCTGCACGCTCAATTAGCCTTGGAGGAAATCGATCTGATTGTAAAGGATTTTCTAACAAAACCGTGCAAATTCGAGAAGCAAATTTTCGTATTGGATCAGCCATGGTAGAATACTTTGATTCTCATTTGCTGTACAGTATTTTTGACACGCACACACACATATATATATATATATATATATATGTGTGTGTGTGTGTGTATATATATATATATAATATATATTTTTTTTTATGTACAATTCTCGCTTCTTGCTCCGCAATTTTACAGACTTTAAGAATGTTGTTCCTTGGTGCCATATAAACAATGTACATACTACACTTAATTAATCATCTAAATATTTTCAAGATCAATCAGTAGAAAATAAGATAAATAAATGTGATACAAACCAATGCCTGTATGCATCTCACGAACACATTCTGTTAAAAATGCGTAATACACAGCGAGACAACAGCGTCACGTTGTTACTCGTCACGTTTGTGTTTACATGAAACGAACGCGAAGTCGAAAGTTCCCGGATATATAGCGCAGATAAAATGCGGACGAGCATCGTCGAAGGAACAAAGAAAACAAAGATTATTTCACTAATCGTGGCCACCTATATATAGTCGCAGCAAACCCGTTTTACGAGGATTATATGAATTCTGATCAGGGATGAATTCTGGTCAGAACTACAAAAACGTCGTGTCTTCGGAGAAGAATCCGGCCAAACGAATGTAATCTCGTTTGAGGCAGGCGTATAGTCGCTGCGGCTGTGGTGTGGAGGCCGGTGAAGGTCGCGGTATTATCGCCCGCAGAATAAATTCCTTGGACGAGGGCTCAGGGAACGTTTTCTGCCGGCTGTCTCCCGCGGCTGCCGCGTCGTTATTGCCGCTGGTGGACGTCATCATGTGAGCGGCCTGAAACACGATCGAAACGTTTTGTGTTCTTTTTCATCGCGACACAATGAGTACAAATGTACGAGTCTGCACCGAGAAAAATTATCTCACCCTCTGAGCGTCGCGGAACATCGTCGTAATACGACTTGCGATGTCGCCCCTGGAACCACCAGGTACGTTCACTTCCTTGCCCCGCATAAGCTGGATCAAGAAAGATATGAATTCCTTGGAGTCGTTATTACCACCCAGCTTATGCTGCAAGGAATTGACTTGCGCAACCAGCGCTTCCACGCCTTCGATATCGCGCGTAATTTCCTAAAAGAAACCATTTGAAGTTGGAACATGTAAATCTATCAAGAAAAATTCATGTATATTTATAATTAAAGGTATATTTATAAGGTTCAGCAATATACCTCGTATAAGTTTAGCTTTTGATGAGTTGGTTTCGTTACGAATTGCAATCTATTGAGTATGCTCTGTGCCACGTCGGGCAGACTCGGTAGAGCCTCTTGCTTTTGCGAACTTAAAGTGTAGAGCGCCGCGTGCATTAGGGTCGGCAATAAGAGTTGTGCGACCTGGCCTATTCGCTTTGAGCACAAATAATGCAGAACCTTCTCCGCCTCCCGCGTGTCGTCGAACAGCCTCTTCTGCCGATGTGCAGGAACTGGTTGCGCCGATGCCCACGTTGTCGACCAAGGATTATCAGGAATCATCATTCGTGGCGACAAGTGGCCTACATATCGAAAATATTCGATATAACAAGTTTGTCATCAAGATAAATAAAAAAGGAAACCTCCCTGGGAATATTATTTTTTCAAGTAATATCCTGATCGACGAGACGCACATAAAGCTGCTCTTTACAACTGCCTTATGTCTTGGAAATATTTTTGTAAGTGACGCGCGTACAACCTTTCACATGTCTCCATTGTAGCCTGAAGCACAATAGAGCCTTTTCCAGCAAAAAATAATTGTACGAGAATCGTTGCAGCATTTCTTACGGTGAATCTTCGATTATCTAACCGAAGTACACGACACAATAATAATGCATGTGAAATTGCAGATGACGCGGGGATTATCGAAGGATATTTTTATAAACCCGAGCCGCTCCCTGTATATTGCAAAAACGATGCCGACCCTTTCCTTGTCCCCACTCGTCGAGCCCTTCGTCGTCGATCCAGTCCCTCGGAGAATACCATCGGATAAAGTCCTCCAGCACCGCGCCAGGATTCGCCGCCTACATCAAATTACAAGCAAAGTGAGGTGTCATCGTAAAGTACATCAGCGAGTTTAGAATCTATTGCTGTGCGCACCTTGAAGGACTCCATGTCGGACAACAGGGACGCGCTCATCATTCGCGCACGCATCTCGGAAGCGTACTTGTCGGTGCCGAGCTGCATCATCACCTGCGCGTCCTCCTCCAGCTGGTCCTCCGTTTTTGGAACGGGATCCTGCGTGACGGGTAGATAAAGAGGATCTCCGCTTTGAATCAGCCTACGCATCAATTCCCATCCCATTGAGTCACGAGGCAGTACACTTTCTCAGACATACTCCGCCGGCAAAGTAAGACTAACGTCATGTGTGATCTTATGGAGATAGTGATACTTGAAATTATGTACGACCGTTCCCATAAGTGTTGGTTAAAGCTAACGCACTCTTAACCAATCCTCTCTCTTTTTACTTCTGATTTTAGAGAGAAAGATGTTAGACTAATAATAATCAGCGTTATAACGTTTACCTAATCACAGAGGGAGAGAGAGAAGAGAAAGAAAGAATATTTACTATAAAATTCTCTCCGTGTATGAAAACGGTCTACATGGATATATCACACATCTACACAGAATTCCTAAGTCTTTATTATGTTTAAATTAAGTTAAATTCTATATTATGAATCTTTAACGTGAATGAAATTTCGATGCTTCGACACTCGTTCACTATAAAGCACTGATGAGGACCGACATCATGCGATACTTTCGCCAGAAATTTTCTGATGCTCCCGAGAGTCGGTAGTACTCGCAATGATACAATAAAATAAGAAATCGCCGTCTTCGATATTTAAGATTTCACGTTAAACCTCATGAGATAAACCTCGCGCGGTTTACGCGAATCCTTGCTAATTTGTGATTGTCACAGTGAAGCAGAAAAGTGCACCTGAGTGAAGGATGTTTAGCCAATCTTCCCGCGGGTTTGTTCCACAGCAGGTGCTTCGCCTTCAATTGCGTCCTCGTTGACGAAACCTCTTCATTCGCCAATTCCTCGCTCGAGCACTCGAAGAATTCCTCCTCCTCGGATTCTGCACAAGTCAAGCCGAGCTCTGCGGTCTCTCTGTTTCTCAGATTGCTCACATGTGTCAAGTGCAATTAAACGCGTTACGTATTGCAACTTTACCTGTCTCCTCGACGTCGTCGATCTCCATGCTCTGAGGTCTGTGCGCGTTCTCCTCTCTCGTCTTTTTCCTCGCTATGCAACAATTCATCATCTGCACGCGTGGAAATAGAAACAAAGGAGATTGTTACTCAAAGGAATGCACGCGGGAGTTACACACGAGATTACATCGAGTATTTGGTGAATTGATGTACCTGCAACTTTTGGTGCAGCAAACACGTGCGAACGGAATCCGGGAAGCCTGGTCCGACTCTGAAACGAGGTGAAACATACGGACGGTATAATTTCAGACTCGATTTTCCAGTCACGAGCACGTTTTACGTACACATCTCATTGATGGAAAAATGACGACGCGAGTGAACATATAAACGCGGCGTCTCCAAGAGACCTCTAGACTTCCAGTGCTCGCACGACGACGACGACGACGACGTCGAAATATTGCACGCTAGATTTAACAGACACGTTCTTTACGGTTGTCGCATCAATTTAGTAATTACCCGTCTTCCACACTCGCTCGTTAGGTTTTAAAGTACACAGTAACGGTATTCCGCGTATTCCGTATTCCCGTAGTCGACAAGTTACATCGTCGCGTTTTCTATCAGCGGATAGATATCTCGCTGTGCTAATTTCATCGATCGCGTCGGTGCCATTAAGATCGCCGACGCTATTCGAATGCATCCATATTTTATAGCCAATGGAGATTACATTTCTATTTCAGTTACTGCTTCCCTTTATTCTTTTTTCTATGTTAGCCACTACTTACGCGTAAGAACGCGAGGCGACAGCGCTTTTTGCAGGAGAGATCCGCGAAATTAATTGCGAACTTCAACTGATCGACTAAGACTTCAATTAATCGACTAAGAGTAACTGTATCTTCAAAATAATCGGTTGGCCGATCAAGTGTCCTGATGGAAAATCAAGTTAGAAGACAGACACAGCAGAATGCGAGAGCGAAGAGACGCAATTGCATCGGTGACGGAATACACGCAATGCGCTTACAAAATCTTGTCGCGTATAGCTGGCTCGACGAGGCGATAATGCTGGAGGAAGCAACAGGTGAGCGACGAGCTCGTCCGAGACTCCGAAACGTTTTATTGCCTAAGAAGAGGCACAGGGTGACGCGACTACGATTCTACAATCTAAAATTAACGCGGAACATCCTGCGAACAGCGAAACATGCAAAACACCGTACGCCACGGCAAAAAGCATGCATGAAGATTACTTAAAAAAAAAATGACGGAGGACAATACTCTTTTCTTCGTCTACACGAAGAAGATGCCTCTGCTGCTAATCATGGCTTGTTGAAAATGTATTTGTTGCTGCAACTAAAAATTTGTTGCTGTATATATATATATATATATATATATATATATATATATATATATATATATATATATATATATATATATATATATATATA